ATGAGCACTACACGAGACAACTTAAATGTCATATCCATGCATATTGGCGCAATGCTCATTTTGAACTTTTTGATACTAATTTCACGCGTTATGTATTCACATTTAATATTTGAGCATCAAACATCCGCTATTGAGATGAAATTCACGGTTTCTAGTGAATGAGCAATAATAAACGTTTAATGAGCATCGTACCCATTCTATTGAGTATTAGGAGTCTAATATTGAGAATCGTGATCTCCGCTTCATAACTTCTAATTCACTTTCTTTTTGTTATTTTTTCTTTTATAAAATCTTATTAAACTATATTTATAATCAACTCCTGTGAATTTCAATATGTTAATTAATGTAAAATAGTACTTTAAAAAATGCATCGATATGACATTTAGAAAATGAGCATAAGATCTCTACCAGATGAGCATACGTAACTTACAAAATGAGTATTAATGAATTTGTTAGCTGCTTTGTTATTTGAACATCACGACATTTTCATTGAGCATCAAACATCCTCTATTGAGATTGATGAAAATCACGATTTCTGTAAAATGAGCATTAATGAGGATTCGACCTATACAAATGAGCATATGTAACTTACAAGATGAGCATCGACATGAAAATTGTAAGTTTTGTTCGTTGAACATTTTACACACGCATTGATATGCCATTTTACATATGAGCATAAAATTAGTACCAAATGAGCATGTGTAGCTTAATTGGACATCACGATATTTTCATTGAGCATCAATCAAACCTCCTATATTGAGATGAAAATAATGATTTGTATTAAATGAGCATTAATGAATTTTTAATGAGCATCGGACCTATACAAATGAGCATATGTAACTTACAAGATGAGCATTGATATGGAAAGTGTAATCAACTCTTATATAAATCTAATAATGTAATATGAGACTTTTGAAATGTGCATTGCTAAAACATTATATAAATGGGTATAGCAGAAATACTAAATGAACATACATAATTCACAAAATGAGTATTTAGAAATTCAAAAGCTCATTTGTGTATGTTCATCTTTAGAAGTTTTACTCGTTTGAGTTTAAGGTAAAACTCATTTCTAATGTGTTTCGTATTAACATATAAAAAAAGGAAGTCAACTACAAATCAAGAAACAAAAAGAGGTAAAGGAAAAGACAAAACAAAAAAACTAAAACTAAAAAAGGAGGAGTAAAAGGACGAGTAAATCAAAAGAAAGTACCTAGCAGTAAAAGTAAAGAAAAGAATAAAAATAAAAAACACAAAACTAAAAAGTACTCGTAAGTCGTAACAATCAAGAAGGAAAAAGGATGAGTATGGCGGATGAGTATTACGAATGAGTATGGCGGCATAAGAAAATAAAGAAAACGAGATGGTGGCTGAAGAAATAAGACTAGAGAAAAGAAAAGAGAATGGCGGCAGAAGAGGAAAAAGTATGGAGCGAATTGATGATCCAGCGAGAAGGAAAAAGTATGGCATCAAAGACTTAAAGTTGCTTAAAATTACAAAATAACCAGGTGTATGTACACCCGGACGTAGGATATAATTTGCCATGGGGTCCCCTATTATTTTGATTGGGGGCGCACCTCATTTATAACATATTTATCCACATGGGCGGAACCAGGGGGGTGCGAGCCGGTGCTGCCGTCACCCCTTCGCCGGAGTTTTTTGAGTATTAGTATAGGGTATTTAGTCTTCCGCCCCTGTAGCTTCTCATCTTCTTCCTTGAGAAGAGACCAGCGCCCGGGGCTCCGATTCAGCGAACAGGGAGATAGAAGACTTCCAGGCTGTATTTTTTTAATCCAACTAATCTTCCAAACGACGTCGTTTGTCTAAGTGCACAGGAATAAACAAAACGACGTCGTTTTTGACCCAATCTGATAAACCCGTTTACACACTGCATCCTCACCGCATAAGCGCATAGCTGCATATAGGATAGAGCACACTCGCCTCGCAAGAATGCAAGATTGCCCCTTCGTCCTCAATCGCCGGCTCTCCGTCCCTAGAATCTATACTCTCCGTCGCAGTTGCTTGATTCTCCGCCGGCCGCCCTAGATTGATTCTCAAGATTCGAAGTGAGTCAAGGCTGTCAAGCAGTGAAGTGACGAAGTCCGTTCGGTAAATACTCTGAACTCTGAAGCGGTGAAGCCAGTTGCCTATATTCAACAGTTCGGTACTTTGGTCTCTCGTAAATGCTTTCAAAATTGAAATCTTTTTAATTAGTATAATTGCTTATTTGCTAATTGCTTTAATTACTTTTTTAATCTAAATTGAATTGATTAATCACTGGACAGTTTGAATTCTTTTGTAATTTTATTGATTAATTACTTTAATTTCTTTAAAGTTTAATTGATTAATTGCTTGAATTGATATGAAGTTGAAATTGTTTATACATTTTTTTAGATTAATTACTTGCATTGCTTTACTTGCTTTGAATTTTAATTGATTAATTGCTTTATCTCTAAGAATTTAAAGTTGAAAATATTTTTAACTTGTTAGGTTACTCATGTAATCATGTTTATTTTACAATTGTAACACGAGGCACTGAATCTTCTAGACGGGATAAAAAAGAAAGTAATAGAGAAAAACATCCTCGTGTAGAATGTGATCCAAAAATTTTATATTCTCTAAACCTTTATAACGATTTTTTTTTGCATTGTACGCTACTTTTAGCCACCCCTTACTTTTTGTTCTGGTTCCGCCCCTGTTTATCCATAGTATATACAGAGTAGTCTTCCTGTCCAGCTGGCCTGACGGGAACCGCCGTCCGGCCGAGGGCATTTTGGGCACTTCCCGGTGGAATTTTTTGATGAAATTTTTTGAGCATGTTCTTCATGAAGTCCAGTTTATCCATATCAAATTTCAGCTACAATTTCAATCGGGAAGGCACTCAAATAATTTCTTGAAGTTAACTGGGCAGTTCATATATATGAACTGCCCAGTTAACTTCAACAAATTATTTGAGTTCCTTCCCGATAGAATTTTGAGCTGAAATTTGGTATGGATAAATTAGACTTCATGAAGAACATGCTCAAAAACTTTCATCCAAAATTCCACTTAGAAGTGACCGAAATGCCCTCAACCGGACGGCGGTTCTCGTCAGGCCGGCTGGACATGAAAAGTTGTCAGTATATACATATGTTAACATTAAAAAGTAGGAGGTTATTGGGGGGCACGTGCCCCCAATGGTTGTACCGCTATACAATAGTTGAAATTCAATAGACTAGATGTTGTCATATACAATAGTTAACAAAGGTCTAGCACTCTAGTCTATTCATCACATAAAATAAGGAGCAACTAAAACCTTGAAAAGGGTTTCCTCTCACTTATATTTGATAAAAAAGGCCTCATCACGCCACATGTCCTATGTCAAATCGCCTAGCATGTTGTCATCCCCACACGCCTTTACTGGTCCATAAACGCTAGTGCGGAAAATAATATGCCCAGCCGGCCAGCCCTGTGGCATGTTCACAATGTGTGAAATTGGTGCATTTAATTTTGAGTAAAGGGTCGGTTTGGTTCTCGAAGTTTCATAAAGGGTCAAATAAATCCTTATATAGAAGATTCTCTCCGGACGTGCCATTTGAAGCGGTTTCCGATGGAATTTTTTGATAAATTTTTTTGAACATCTTATTCATTAACTCTAGTTTACTCATACCAAATTTCAGCTAAAAGTTCAATCGGGAAGGCATTCAAAGGAATTCTTTAAGATAACTGCGCTTTTAACTGCACAGTTATCTTCAAGAACTCATTTGAATGCCTTCCCGATTGAATTTTTATCTGAAATTTGGTATGAGTGAACTAGACTTAATGAATAAGATGCTAAAAAAAAATTACCAAAAAAATTCCACCTGGAACCGCCCTAAATGGCGACGGCCGGATAGAACCTCCTATATAAGGACTTATTTAACCCCTTTTATGCAACTTCGAGGACCAAACCGACCCTTTACTCATTTAATTTTTGCACAATCATATATTTTGGGAAAACTATCAAATAAGTCCCGTACTATGCCAAAAAAGTCGATTAGGCCCTCATACTTTACAAACACTCAATTAAGTTCTCGAACTATTAAAAAACGTTCAATTAAGCCCTTTCGGTCGGTAAGTAAACCGGTTTCCCGGTTAAACGGCGATGGCGGCGACGATGTGCTCGAACCCCAGCAACGGCGGTTGCCGGGAAACATGTTACATTTAACCGGGAAACCGATTACCTACCGACCAAAAGGGCTTAATGGAACGTTTTTTAATAGTTCAAGGACTTAATTGAGTGTTTGTAATCAGTTTAATTGACTTAATTGAACCGATTACCTACCAACCAAACAGGTTACACCTAATCGACTTTTTCGGTATAGTATGAGGGCTTATTTGATAGTTTTCCCTATATTTTGATAAGTTTTGATGCATGAGTGCATCAGTGCATGTGTTTTCGCTCGTATATTGTGCTTCTATTAATGTTTTTGTTAGTTAAAATCGCTCAATTAGAATCATAATTGAACAAGAAATATTAGTCAAATATCAAAAGTGGACAAAATGAAATACGTTGATTAAATGTGAAATTAATATACAGCTCATAAAGACTAAAAGTGAAATTAATTTTGTATGAATAACAATCATAAACACGTAATTACTTCATGTTTTTGTAAATTGGATTTGATTTTCACATATCATTGCCCTTTTAGCAATGCTAGAGCTCAGAGAAGAATTTCACCATAAATATGTATAAGAAGGATATATGACATTTTGTGGTGGATATTTAATTTGTAGATGCAAGAATGATCTAGTTGACGAGCTACTAATAAGGCTATGATTGGCGGGCATAAGTCTCTACCTTCTAGTTTTTGTAATGTTCAAAAAGTCTCTAAAAGCTTCTAGTTATATGTTTGACATTAATTTTTAATAGTTTTTTCAGAAATTAATTAAAAGATCTTTTTCGAGATGCTACAGAGAGTAGCATTTGAAAAATGTTCGTGACTTTTAGTATTAATTAGTCCTAACAGCGAGCTTGTATACCGAACTGAACTAAATCAAACGGTCGGCTTTTCACCAATGTCACGCCCCGGACCTATCCGGACACGTCAACAACCCGCCGTACAATATGAATAGTCAACCGCGGTCCAACACATTCATATTATACAAGGCGTCTTGAATATCATTCACACATATACATCCATAAACAAACATAATAAGTAATTCATAACGCAGCGGAAAACATTATTTAAAACAAAAGAGCCACACAGGGCTATTCATGAGCACGCAGGCTCTATAGTAAAATATCCATGAGCAAATTTAATAATGTTTCAAATAGAACGGAGGAAGCACGAACCAAGTCTTCTCTCCGAGGAATCGCCCGATCAACGAGCACAGGATGCAAGCTCTAGCCTCAACCTGAAATGGTGGTGGGACGCCCCCGAAGGGGTCAGTACTCTATACGGCTATAAAGTACTGGTGTGGCAGGCATCTAATAGATATACAACAAGTATTTCAAACACAAGACCCTCAAATAGGGTGATAGTACATTATGATTGTAACCCTGAGTTACCCCGTTTAAAAATTATACTTACTTTATATAAAAGTCAAGTAGTCGGCCCGTGGGCCCATGTTCATTTGGAAATCACCATTCCCAACCCCGTGACTATAAGCCACGACAACTCCTAGAGTCCAACCCTAGTATATGACATTGTATTCTAGAGCTCGGCTCTACCACATCACCATACAATCCATATACCTCGGGTCAATTTCCTTACCTTGCGTTCTAGAGCTCGGCTCTATCACATCACCACGCAAGCCCTAGAGCTCGGCTCTAGCTATACAATACATAGACTCCAAGTCTACACCTTACATGCATTCTAGAGCTCGGCTCTATCACATCACCATGCATTAAGGTCCAATTCTCAAGCAACCTTATGCCTAGAATTGACATATCATTATACTACCATGGGTCATTCTTAAAGACTTCCCATAACTTAACCTTAGTTCCATACTAGGTTATTATCTACACTTGAACTATATTCAAGTATCTTTCATACAATCCAATCCCTAGGATCAATTTAATTCACAAGTCCCAATAGTCACTAACTAGTATTCCAATACTATTAAGATTATTGGTATCATACCATTATCCTCATTATTGTAATTCTCTACATATTTATAATTATGTAGCAGCAACTTAAGCATTCAATTTCAATACACAAATATTCATTTATGTATCCACATAATTCATACATGAGTAAAATACCCATTTTCACAAAATGGTTCTTTTATACTCATTTAATCTCATATTATTCATACCTTCTCAAATCATTCCAAATTTCATTCTTTGGCAACTATATCAATATTTCATCAATATATAATCATCATAATCCATGAAAAATCATGATTTAAGCATTTAGGTAATCTCATGCTTAACCTACAAGTTGTAAGCAATTAGATGTCAATCCTCACCTCAATTGAGCTTTAAACTTTCCCTTCTTGGTCCAATGGTCAAAGCTTCGGTCAAGGTGGATTTGGAACTGATTCCTTGCTCAAATATGAGTGTTAAACAGCCTCTTCAAGGTGCTAGCTCAACCCCTAAACGTTAGTACGAAAACAGCCCCTAGAATGGGTGTTTTCCGGCTAACTCGTTTCCTAGTTTTCCAAGATTTGTTCTAGGTTAGTATCTAACCTTTACATCAATAAAATAACTTAATAGGGACATATTATACACTTGGAGTAGTGTATAATAGTTCCACCAATCGTTCATATCATTTGGAAAATGAATGGAAAGGTTTTGGGATTAACAACTCACTTAGAAGAGTAAATCCGTTCCTGCGAGGTCGCGTTCTGTTCGGACGATTTGGAAGCCTTCCTCTACTCCGATTGATGCAAACCAGACCTTCACGGATTCCTCGTCTTGAGAGCTTTCTTTTGGTATCTCACACGCCTTAATTGGATTGGTAAAACTCGAGATATCGACCAAACAGTCTCAGCACTCTCACAGCTCGAGTTCACAGACCTCTGCTCGTTCCAGATCGATTTTTGGATGATTGCTCTCTCCTCTCGAACTGTGTCCACTCAAATATGAAAATAGACTTCAAAAGCTATCCAAAGACACCTTATACACCCCATTTGGACGAGTACAACTCTCAAAATGAAGGGAGACAAAACAGCACACCTGTTTGTGCGAAAACAGTGGTGGTGGCCCCAAAATTTGATCCCAATTGTGTCATGGGCAATGCTTCTCCATGTGGTGCGGCCAAGGTGAGTCTCCTCACATATTTTCCTTGTCTTTCAGGTACTCAAGCCACATGGGATGCCCCCCAATTAATCCCAATCAATTTGGGGTCCAAAATATCTACCAATACTTCCAAAAATGGGAAGATGGGTCCTATTGTTTTATCTTTGTCAAAGATGTCTTTTTGTACTCATCCTAATTTATTTAGAACAAGTCAACTTCCTAAATCACATTATTGACCTCCAATATGTGTAGGCTCATCCCAATAATTTACTTGATGGATGTTATAGAAGGAAAATCCTACTCCCATTATTTAGCTCAAAAATGCCAAAGATGGGGTTATAGGCATTTGTATTCTTCTTTAATCCTTCGATCACTTATATAGATAATGTTGGGCTCTTTTATTTATTAATAAGTCCGGAGTAAGTATTTGCGAAACCCGACACTAATGTACGAGTTTGAACAGTACGATATTCAACCATGCACTACGTAGAATATTGATCATTTTACAAAATGTTTGGGAATCAGAAATCCAATACATAAGCTTTGAATATTCAAATCAAATTTCCAAGGACATTCGGGTGCGGTGTCACAAGTTCACCCCCCCTTAACAGGAATTTCGTCCCCGAAATTCACAGCTCTACTCGAATAGGAAAGCATACTGCTTTCTCATCAAAGCCTCTGTTTCCCATGTCTCTTCTTCGACCCGATCGCTCTTCCACAGGACTTTAACCATTGGGACTTCCTTGCTCCTCAGTTTCTTCACCTTTCTATCGGTGACCTTGATAGGTTGAACAGCGTAGTTCAAATCCTCACGTACCTCTACAGGTGGCTTCTCCAATACGTGAGAGGGATCATGCACGTACTTCTTAAGCATGGATACATGAAACACATTATGTATCTTCTCTAACTCAGGAGTCAACTGTAGACGATATGCAACGGCCCCAATCCTCTCTATAATTCTGAATGGACCTATATATCGTGGGTTAAGTTTTCCTCGGGTTTGGAACCGAATGATCCCTTTCCAAGGAGAAACTTTCAAGAATACCTCGTCATCAACCTTAAACTCTAAGGTTCTTCGACGCTTATCTGCATAACTCTTTTGTCTATCCTGAGCCGCTTTGAGTCTCTCTCGAATCAACTTCACCTTTGATTTGGTGACCTCAACCAACTCAGTACCCTCGAGTTTGGCCATGCCAACCTCGTCCCAGCATAACGGTGTACGACACCTCCTTCCATACAATGCCTCGTATGGAGGCATGCCGATGCTTGCCTGATAACTGTTGTTATAGGCAAACTCCACAAGTGCTAAGTGGTTGTCCCAACTTCCTTGGAACTCCAATGCACAAGCCCTTAGCATGTCTTCTAGGATCTGTATGACTCTTTCAGACTGCCCATCCGTCTGTGGGTGGAAAGCAGTACTGAACTTCAACCTCGTTCCCATAGACTCCTGAAATTTTGGCCAAAAACGTGATGTGAATCGTGGGTCTCTATCAGATACAATGGTCACCGGGACTCCATGCAGCCTCACGATCTCATCCGTATACAATTTGGCTAACCTCTCAAGTGGGTATGTAGTGTTGATAGGCAAGAAGTGTGCACTCTTTGTGAGCCTATCCACAACGACCCAAACCGCGTCATAGTTCCTGATAGTCCGTGGTAAGCCTACCACGAAATCCATAGTCACGTGCTCCCACTTCCATTCAGGGATGGAGAGTGGTTGCAATAAGCCTGCTGGGTGCTGATGTTCTGCCTTAACTTGTTGACAAGTAAGGCACCGACTGATGTACTCGGCTATTTCCCTCTTCATTCCAGACCACCAGTAACTTTCTTTCAAATCACGGTACATTTTCGTGCCCCCCGGGTGCATGGCATAAGCCGATGAATGAGCCTCCTCTAAGATGGACTTTCGGAGCTCATCATCTGACGGTACACACACTCGGTCACGAAATAACAAGAGACCATCATCTCTTTCCCTGAAATCCTCCACCGGCCCCGCTTGCATGCGTTCCCGGACCTTCATAAGTTCTTCGTCGGCTTCCTGACCCTTCTTGATCTCATCAAGTAAAGTAGGTCTCACCTCAAATCGTGCCAATAAGGCACCATCGCTGGTTACCTCCAGTTGGGCTCTTAATGCCCTCAAATTAGCTAGCAATGCCCCAGACGAGCTCTTCCGGCTCAAAGCATCTGCCACCCACGTTTGCCTTGCCTGGGTGATACTCTATCACTAGATGGTAGTCTTTTATCAGCTCCATCCACCGTCTCTGTCTCATGTTTAGCTCTTTCTGAGTAAACACGTACTTCAAGCTCTTGTGATCAGTGTATATGTGACATGTCTCCCCGTAGAGATAATGTCTCCATATCTTTAGTGCAAACACCACTGCCCCCAGCTCCAAATCATGAGTAGGATAATTCACCTCATGCTTCTTCAATTGTCGTGAAGCATAGGCAATTACCCTCCCATTCTGCATCAGTACACATCCAAGCCCTTGGATGCTCGCGTCGCTATAGACATCGTACCCCACACCTTGTTTGGGTAATGCAAGTACCGGTGCCTCAGTCAATCTCTTCTTTAGTTCCATGAACCCTTTCTCACATTTGTCATCCCATACAAACTTAGCTCCTTTACGGGTGAGCTTCGTCAATGGCGATGCCAACACAGAGAACTTCTCCACGAACTTTCTGTAGTAGCCTGCCAATCCAAGGAAACTACGAATTTCCTTGACGTTCTTTGGCCTCTCCCATTCAGTAATGGCTTCTATCTTCTTGTTATCAACAGCAATTCCCGATCCCGAAACCACGTGCCCGAGAAAGCCGATTTCCTTTAGCCAAAATTCACATTTAGAAAATTTGGCATAAAGTTGCTTCTCCCGTAGTGTCTCAAGAACAAGTATCAAGTGCTCTTCATGCTCTTCTTCACTCTTTGAGTAAATCAAGATGTCATCTATGAACACAATCACGAATCGGTCCAAGTATTTATGAAATACTCGGTTCATCAAGTCCATGAATGCCGCCGGGGCGTTTGTTAGCCCAAACGACATAACAAGGAATTCAAAATGCCCATACCTTGTGCGGAAAGCACTCTTTGGTATGTCATCTTCCTTAATCTTCAATTGATGGTACCCCGACCTCAAGTCAATCTTCGAAAACACGGTTGCCCCTCGTAGTTGGTCAAACAAGTCATCAATTCTAGGCAAAGGATACCTATTCTTGATTGTGACCTTGTTCAGTTGACGATAGTCAATACACATTCGAAGTGTCCCATCTTTCTTTTTCACAAAAAGAACTGGTGCTCCCCACGGGGAGTGGCTTGGTCTAATGAAACCGTTATCCAAAAGCTCTTGCAATTGGGTTTTCAACTCGTTAAGTTCAGCGGGTGCCATACGGTATGGCGGTATGGAGATTGGTTTGGTACCAGGCTCGACCTCGATCACAAATTCAATCTCCCTGTCAGGTGGCAGCCCCGGTAGGTCTTTAGGGAAGACATCCGGATACTTACAAACCACCCTCACATCATCGATGTTCGTTTCCTCCTTGGTTTTGTCAACCACGTATGCTAGATATGCGTGACATCCCTTTCTCATCATACTTATCGCTCTCACGGCGGATATGATACAGCTATTTGATCTCCCTCGATCGCCCTCGAAGCGTAGGGTCTCCCCATCATTGCCTTCGAGTTCAAGAACCTTCGTGTAGCAATCTACCCTAGCATGGTTCCTTTCTAGCCAATCCATCCCTAGGATTGCATCGAATTCAATCATGCCCAGCGGTACGAAGTCACACGTCAAGGTTTGACCATTAACCTCCACCCCACAAGATGGATAATAACAAGTTCTTTCCACGTCATCTCCTAGTGGTTGATACCACTAAGGTTTGCATCAATGGTGCGGATTGCACCCCCAACCTCTTGGCGAACGCTTCATTCACAAATGAACGTTGCGCCCCGGTATCGATAAGGATTCGCGCATCCTTCCCATTAATCTTTAGCGTCCCTACATTCATGAACCATGTAAGACATTTTTCCTACCCTCCCTACTCATTTATAGAAGGTTACAATGTTCACACGCATGTTAGGGATCAAGAAAAGGTCTTAACGTTGCAATACGGCGCGAAAAAGTCGACTTTGGGCTGCCCAGGAGGTACGCACGGCGTGCCTAGGAGGTACGCACGGCGTGCGTGTCTTATAACCTCAAAACGGAGCTACTGCCACCAACGCACGGACCAACGCACGGACAACGCACGTCCGTGCGTATAGCAATTTCTTCCCGGTTGCTACTGCCACCAACGCACGGACCAACGCACGGACAACGCACGGCCGTGCGTATAGCAATTTCTTCCCGGGTTGCTACTGCCACCAACGCACGGACCAACGCACGGACAACGCACGGCCGTGCGTATGGTCCAGCCTGGTGTGCGTTGGCGGAAATCAGCCGTCTTTCGCCCGATTTCGCTCCGTTTGACCCCAAAGCTTCGTGCAATGATCCCAACGACTAGCAACCTCAATTTATGGACTAATCAAGGGTAAAACATAAGTATACAAAAGGTAATACCTGCAACGGAATCCGGGTTAGCTTGAGCATCCGCCTCCGTCATTGCGTAGACCCTAGCCTGGGTCCTTCCTTGGTTCACGGATGGCGCATTACTCGTGCTTGCTCCCCCATGTCCCCGGCTTGCTTGAGAAGCCCCGGGTTGATTCCGTGTACCCGTCGGGCCATTACTTGGTCCCGATGTCCTTGCCCCGCCCAGTTGTGGGCAATGTGCCTTCAAATGCCCGGCATCCCCACATTGAAAGCATCTAGGGGGGTCGCGACATTTACCGGAGTGGTTCTTCTTGCAATTGTTGCAACGAGTCACCACCGAGGTTTGTGACCTCGAGCCTTGCCCACTCGGGCCTTGGTTCCCCCTAGACGGTGGTGGTGGTGCCCGGAAAGATCCTCCTCCATGGTTCCCCTTTTTGTTGGAACCTTGGGAGCCATGACTCTCCCATTTTCTCTTTTTCGCCTCCTCGGTGTCTCTCTTCTTCCGTTCCTCCCACTGTTTCTCCCCTTTCAACGCTTGGTCAACCACTTGGGCGAAAGTCATATTAGGCAATTGCGTTGCCCTATCACGTATCTCCAAGTCAAGAGCGTCCCAAAAGTGGTTTACCATGCGGTTCTCGTCACAAGCATACTCCGGTATGTAGTCGGCGAGATCCCGGAACTTGTACTCCAGCTCCTTCACTGACATGTTACCCCCTTGGGTTAGGAGGGTGTATTCCCTCACCTTCTTATTCACCTCGAAATCAGAATAGTATTGGGCAAAGAACTCCCGTTGGAAGTCCTCCCAAACGACGGTCTCACCGTACTTGTTCTTGGTTCCATCCCACCACTTGGATGCCATCCCCTCGAGCAATCTTACCGCAATTCTCAGTTTGAGATTCGGCGCGATTTGCATGTCAAGGGCTGCTTCATTTAGCCTCTTGATCCATTGTGCTGCCACTGAAATGTCCCCTGCTCCATCAAAGGGTTTGCACCCCAAATCTCTTGCTTCTTTGATGTATTTGGAGATCCTTATGGTTGGACCTCCATCATTTTGGCCTCCACGTGGTTCCACATGGACTCTAGATGCACCATGACTTCCTCCTCGTGAAGCCATGCCCGAAGGTTGCCCAGCCCGGCGCCTTCGGCGTTCCCTCCTCTCTTCGCGCTCACGGTGATATTGTTGGAGTAATGCCTCAATCCGCGCTAAGGAGCCGTTGTCCTCCTCATCACTTGCGTCATCGTCATCCCCTTCATAAGGGGTTTCAACCGGCTCTGTTTCCGGCCGATAGGTCGAGTCCTCATAGGACCAGTAGCTCTCGTTTTCGGTGCTCACATGACCGTCGCTCACGGTCTGTGATCGGCCTCCACGGCCAGCTCCTCCAGATGCTCTAGAGGTCCTTCGACTGCCCAGTCCAGTCTCCACTGGTACACGGCCAGTCGGGTTTCTCCTAGTAATCCTGCCACCACGGTCCATTTCTGAAAGAAAATTTGGAAAGAGTCGTTAGACTCGTATCAAATGTCAATTGACGGATAGGTACTCAAGACACTACTTGGCTCAAATTGCTGCCATACCAATTGCTAAGGGTACCATCTTAACAATTAGAGACCTTGCAACTCAAGTGCCAAAAGTTCTTCAAGTACAAAACGTTTATGCTCATGGTTTTAGAAATCATTTTGAAAAGAGAATTTCGAGACTTCATTATGAAGTTTATGGACTAAGGCTCTGATACCAACTTAATTGTCACGCCCCGGACCTATCCGGACACGTCAACAACCCGCCGTACAATATGAATAGTCAACCGCGGTCCAACACATTCATATTATACAAGGCGTCTTGAATATCATTCACACATATACATCCATAAACAAACATAATAAGTAATTCATAACGCAGCGGAAAACATTATTTAAAACAAAAGAGCCACACAGGGCTATTCATGAGCACGCAGGCTCTATAGTAAAATATCCATGAGCAAATTTAATAATGTTTCAAATAGAACGGAGGAAGCACGAACCAAGTCTTCTCTCCGAGGAATCGCCCGATCAACGAGCACAGGATGCAAGCTCTAGCCTCAACCTGAAATGGTGGTGGGACGCCCCCGAAGGGGTCAGTACTCTATACGGCTATAAAGTACTGGTGTGGCAGGCATCTAATAGATATACAACAAGTATTTCAAACACAAGACCCTCAAATAGGGTGATAGTACATTATGATTGTAACCCTGAGTTACCCCGTTTAAAAATTATACTTACTTTATATAAAAGTCAAGTAGTCGGCCCGTGGGCCCATGTTCATTTGGAAATCACCATTCCCAACCCCGTGACTATAAGCCACGACAACTCCTAGAGTCCAACCCTAGTATATGACATTGTATTCTAGAGCTCGGCTCTACCACATCACCATACAATCCATATACCTCGGGTCAATTTCCTTACCTTGCGTTCTAGAGCTCGGCTCTATCACATCACCACGCAAGCCCTAGAGCTCGGCTCTAGCTATACAATACATAGACTCCAAGTCTACACCTTACATGCATTCTAGAGCTCGGCTCTATCACATCACCATGCATTAAGGTCCAATTCTCAAGCAACCCTATGCCTAGAATTGACATATCATTATACTACCATGGGTCATTCTTAAAGACTTCCCATAACTTAACCTTAGTTCCATACTAGGTTATTATCTACACTTGAACTATATTCAAGTATCTTTCATACAATCCAATCCCTAGGATCAATTTAATTCACAAGTCCCAATAGTCACTAACTAGTATTCCAATACTATTAAGATTATTGGTATCATACCATTATCCTCATTATTGTAATTCTCTACATATTTATAATTATGTAGCAGCAACTTAAGCATTCAATTTCAATACACAAATATTCATTTATGTATCCACATAATTCATACATGAGTAAAATACCCATTTTCACAAAATGGTTCTTTTATACTCATTTAATCTCATATTATTCATACCTTCTCAAATCATTCCAAATTTCATTCTTTGGCAACTATATCAATATTTCATCAATATATAATCATCATAATCCATGAAAAATCATGATTTAAGCATTTAGGTAATCTCATGCTTAACCTACAAGTTGTAAGCAATTAGATGTCAATCCTCACCTCAATTGAGCTTTAAACTTTCCCTTCTTGGTCCAATGGTCAAAGCTTCGGTCAAGGTGGATTTGGAACTGATTCCTTGCTCAAATATGAGTGTTAAACAGCCTCTTCAAGGTGCTAGCTCAACCCCTAAACGTTAGTACGAAAACAGCCCCTAGAATGGGTGTTTTCCGGCTAACTCGTTTCCTAGTTTTCCAAGATTTGTTCTAGGTTAGTATCTAACCTTTACATCAATAAAATAACTTAATAGGGACATATTATACACTTGGAGTAGTGTATAATAGTTCCACCAATCGTTCATATCATTTGGAAAATGAATGGAAAGGTTTTGGGATTAACAACTCACTTAGAAGAGTAAATCCGTTCCTGCGAGGTCGCGTTCTGTTCGGACGATTTGGAAGCCTTCCTCTACTCCGATTGATGCAAACCAGACCTTCACGGATTCCTCGTCTTGAGAGCTTTCTTTTGGTATCTCACACGCCTTAATTGGATTGGTAAAACTCGAGATATCGACCAAACAGTCTCAGCACTCTCACAGCTCGAGTTCACAGACCTCTGCTCGTTCCAGATCGATTTTTGGATGATTGCTCTCTCCTCTCGAACTGTGGCCACTCAAATATGAAAATAGACTTCAAAAGCTATCCAAAGACACCTTATACACCCCATTTGGACGAGTACAACTCTCAAAATGAAGGGAGACAAAACAGCACACCTGTTTGTGCGAAAACAGTGGTGGTGGCCCCAAAATTTGATCCCAATTGTGTCATGGGCAATGCTTCTCCATGTGGTGCGGCCAAGGTGAGTCTCCTCACATATTTTCCTTGTCTTTCAGGTACTCAAGCCACATGGGATGCCCCCCAATTAATCCCAATCAATTTGGGGTCCAAAATATCTACCAATACTTCCAAAAATGGGAAGATGGGTCCTATTGTTTTATCTTTGTCAAAGATGTCTTTTTGTACTCATCCTAATTTATTTAGAACAAGTCAACTTCCTAAATCACATTATTGACCTCCAATATGTGTAGGCTCATCCCAATAATTTACTTGATGGATGTTATAGAAGGAAAATCCTACTCCCATTATTTAGCTCAAAAATGCCAAAGATGGGGTTATAGGCATTTGTATTCTTCTTTAATCCTTCGATCACTTATATAGATAATGTTGGGCTCTTTTATTTATTAATAAGTCCGGAGTAAGTATTTGCGAAACCCGACACTAATGTACGAGTTTGAACAGTACGATATTCAACCATGCACTACGTAGAATATTGATCATTTTACAAAATGTTTGGGAATCAGAAATCCAATACATAAGCTTTGAATATTCAAATCAAATTTCCAAGGACATTCGGGTGCGGTGTCACAACCAAACAGCTACCACATTTTCTATTTAAGATATTTTCAATCACTAAACCTAACAGTTATTAAAAAGCTCACAATATTATCTTTTCAGTTAGTTGTGCCAAACATACCCTAAATATAACATATATGAGGCAAACATTTAGAAATAAAGTGATCTGGACAGGCAAAAGAAAGTACGTGTATAGTTGCTCACGGATAGTATTTTGTGATCTTTTTTTTGTACATTTTGTGATCTATTTTAGTGTCTGTGTGATAAATCTTAATAATCTGGGTAAACAAAATATTTAAGTAATAGTCTATATAGGTTCAAATGAATGATATACTTGTATGTGTACTCAATTTACATGTAATTTGAAAAAAAATGAAAGGATAATGAAAATAGATAAATAAGTTAATTTTGTGCAAATATTAGAAAAAGAGAAGGGAGAAAGTGGGAAAAGAGAAAGGATAAGAGGAAAAGTGAGAGAATGAAATTGGTAAATATTTAGGTTTAGATGATGTGTACACCTTGTGTAAAAACATCAAATCTTATTTTAATGAGCTAACCTAAGTGAGTGGAAAAGGGATCATTCTTGATGTACACAAAATCTGTACATTGTATGTGTACACAGACAATTTGACATCAAATTCTGCCTCTTTTTAACGAATTGTCTGTGTACATCAAGTCATGTACACTAAACATTTCTCGTGGAAAAGTGTGCATTAAAGATTTGGAGTATAATAGTTTCGGAAACGGTGAAAACCACATATTTGGCACAAGATTGTGAACGACATCTTCCATCATCTGAAAATTAAAGGCAATTGTTTTTTATGAAGCACGACTCGATCTAAGTCGAAGTCGAGCTCCACGCAATTGATTAGCACATAGATCATCCTATGCCTTATTTTAAAGCTTGAAGTTAATTTTTACTTAATGCGTGCGTACATAAGTTTGTAACTTGTGTCATTCATCGTGTAATAATCAATATGATGAAGTTGAAATTACTTTATAAGTTAATAAATTAAATTGCTTAAGAGGACTATTTTAGCAACTTTCATACTAGTAAATTTTTCACCAATGATTGAGCACATTCAACCATAATTTCACCAATTTCGGCAAATTCAACTATTTATTTCTCAATCTCGAAGTGTTCTCTACTTGGCGAATCATAATTTCACAAGTAATATCTTTGTGCTCTCTACTTCTCTGCTTCTCAATCTCCAACTATTATTATCTTTAATTTATGCTCTCGACTTCTCATTTCAAAATAAACTTCAATTCATTTATGGCGAAAGTTAATTACGAGGTTGACATTGGTTACCTCTTCCCAGCAACTCTCAATTGAACAATTAGCTCTTTAACGAGCCCACATATTTTTTAAAAGAAGTAAAATTCACTTAATTAAGTTACATGCTATCAAATTTGAATTCAAGTATTGGAATGATGTCAATCTCATTTAGGCGGAAACGAACAACCAATCCTATTGAAAATTCAAAAATAGCAAACGAATATTAAGATAATCAGATAAGAGGTTGAAATAATATAATAGGGCATGTCAAATAAACGTAAACGCAATTTTATTCCTTGGATTTCAGAATTGTTGGGTCGGCCGGCACCGGTCATTGAAAAGGAAGGGAATGCTTGTCGTCTCTCCACCAAATGGCTCAGAAATTAGAATAATCCACCACACACTCCACTCAATTTCACCTCTCCTTGGAGTCTTGAAGACTACTTGTGAGTTGTTACTTGTCTCACCTAAATATTTTATTCGACCAAAGATAATTAATTATTCTCCCTATATATATGGGGGGCGTCTCATATGCTCCAAAATAAATACTCCACATATCTTATAAATAATAAAATTACTATGTCTTTCATCATAAAAACTCAACCTGAAAAGAATAATAGATCTTAGAGCATCTTCAATGCTATAATGTCCACGGTGCACATGTGTCATGAGTGATAGACACATAATTATTAGTAAATAAATTATTTCTCTCCTTATTTGAATGATTTTATATAATTTTAGTAAGTTTTTCCCTGCAATGTCAACAACAATGTCAACATTAGACGGTCTCTTTGACATTGTGGAGAATAACTTACCAAAACTGTATAAAATCATTCAAATAAGGAGAGAAATAATTTATTTAGTAATATTTATGTGGTCATCTCTCATGCCACGTGTGCACCGTGGACATTGTACCATTGAAGATGCTCTTAGTATATATATAGGTAATGTACTTTATTACTCCGTAGTTTATTATTTCTTCCGTTTCAAATAAACTTCACACTTACCTTTTTAGATAGGTCCAAAATAAATTTCAATTGACAAGTTTTTAATATAAAATTACCTTTATATTCTTACTTGATTATATACTTTACACCGACTTTCTGTCTCCCACTAAACTTTATGGGGTTTGATGGGAATGACAAAAGCCAAAATTCTACTTTCTAAAAAAAGTAAAATCAATGTATGAAGTTTATTTAAGGTCAAAGGGAGTTGAGTTGTATCATAAAAGCCAACCTGATAAGAGGATTCCAAAATGTTCAATACATGATCTTAATATAATAATCGAGCCTTCAACAAATGTCATTTGGTTAGACATTTTAGCATAAATGAAAGGCTACTTTAAAATATTGCACATGGAGAACAGCATGAAAAGTGAAAATAGTGTGGCATGAAAACTAAACACGATGGATTCCGGCAACGGTCATCCATGATTTTGACCGTCACTTGGGCCATTTTTATACCCACTAGTCACTGCTGTCTTGATAGTTGATATCGACATGGATATATATGTATTTATATCATACGGAGTACTACGTATTTGTTCACATTTTATTCCCATGCATATCTTAGCTTCTTTTTTCATATCAATTATGGGTGAGCAAAATTTGAAATTTCTTATCATGTACCCAAAAACAACTTCCTACTTTCCTTAAATGAATGTCCCAAAATTAATTCCACACTTCAATACTTTCCTTATTTGATAAATTACCAACATCAAAACAGTGTTAAACAGTGTCAAACAGTGTCCAAACAGTGTCAAAAATGATTAAACAATGCAAAACAATGCACTCCACAGTAAAGTCAAATTTATTTTCTTAAACTGTGTGAATGTCAAACTCTGAAGTTGTTTTTAAGACGAGGGAATACTTTATATCAAACAACTTTCTGATCTGTACCACAACCGAAAGAATGTAATACTCTATATTGAATTGATGAGCCTAATTTCTTAGGTAGTATATAAAATGTTACCTTACCAAATCTTTCCTAGAATCATCCTAGAACCGCCCCATTATTTAAGATAAGTGCTACTCGTAGGGTTTTTGAAAATAATTTAGCTACTACGGAGTAATAAAAAAAATGTGATAAAGATATATTGGAGCAAAAATGACCCATTCTGGGGCATTTGCGTGAGGGTGTAAAAGAGGGTGGGTGAGCGTGTACGGAAGAGAGTACTGAATGGGTTTCAGTGTCTGATACGATTTCTACGAATAATCAAATCACAAGAGAATCAGCAGCCAGCATCATCCCCACCCCACTCCTCACTTTCCCTATTTCCACCTCCTCTATCTGTCATCCATTTCTTTTTTTATGCTCAATCATACCAAGCTAGTGTCTATTTGATCGGTTCCATCTAGTACATAGGTGATAGGTCTCACTAATATTGAGATATACGGAGGTAACTGATTATACGAAAAAGTTAATTTATGAACGTAAGAATAAAATAAAAATGATTTCGAATCATACAAATGTGACCAAATTTGATATAGAATAATCTTAGTAGAATGGATTGAAAAATGAAAGATGAGATAATCAAAACGGGGCGAGGAGCATACTATTTTATGTTTATACTTATCAATATTTTTACCCTCATTAACAAAAGCCATTTCCAGTACTTTTAATTAGAAATGATAATATTCACTTCCGTCTCTTAAAACTTTGTCCATTTTCATTTCTAGTTATTTCAGTCATTTTCCCTTTCTAGTAAAGAATTTGTGATTCCAGACAATTTTTTTTACTCTCTACACAAACCTCAATAACACAATTTTTAATTTATTAATTTTCATGTCAGTCAAATGTTGTCAAGTTTAAAGAAACGTAGAGAGAATTAGAGAAATGATTAGAAATTGATGAGTTTTTTTTGGACAAATGAAAAGACAAAGTTTTACAGAAGTCATTACATCGATGCGGAGAGTTTTCTCGTACTACCTCCATTCCAGTAAGAAGTTCCCAGTTTGACTTACACACATATTAAGAAATAAACTAAATAGGGTTACTATTTTGACACTGTTTGATACTGTTTTGATGTAGATAACTTGTCATTTAATGGAATGGGAACTTCTTTTTTGGAATGCTGAAAAGGAAAGCGGGAATTTCTGAGTGGGATGGAGGGAGAATTTTAAGGACGATTTAATGACTTGAGCTGTGCTATTTATGACGTAGGGAGATCGCGAATAAGAATAAATTATTCTCTTACCTTAGACGAGTCTTAACATCACAAATACGGAGTATTAATTGTGTCACTTGCGAACAAGAATTAGAAGTGACAACAATGGAAAGTGAAATTTTACACTTACAAGGAGAGATGAAAATATACGGAGTAAGTTTTGCTTAAAATAATCAATTACTCGTATTTTACTTGTGAGTAAAATGATTATATCAGAGGTAGGCTTCGATACAAGCTTTCTTAGGGACTTTGCAGATGGGGCAGGAATCAAGCAAGGCCTCGCACGATTTGCATGAACAGAGGTGCCTGCACGGCAAAAACACTAGGCACGATCCCTGCACATTGCACCTTTTGCAGATCATCATTCTCCCTTTATCTTCCACCGACGATGAATTCAACAAATTATGATGATCGCCGTCACCGTGGTGCCGCCGACGACGACCACCGCATGATGAAGTCGCATCTTCCGCACTATTATTTCCCGACGAATTCCACATGCTCTCTCTCAAGCGCTCAAACTTGCCTACGAGAAACGACGCCGTTGCTTCCCTCTCCTTCGCCGCCATCTGCCACGTCTGCTTCTCAATCTCCAGCCGTTTCAGTATGGCTTCAAGCGCCGCCGTCCTCTTCATCGCCGCTGCTATCTCTTCATCCTTCTGTTCGAATAGACCTTTAGTTTTCGCTTCAAATTTTCTTAAGATCAGTATCAGCTGTTCCTTCCTCTGTTCTTCTAGAATAGCCTTCAACCTTTCGTTCTGTTCCAAAATCAACGACATAAATTAGAATAATAACCTGATGAGTGATGAGTTCCAATTTCCAAATAGATAATGGAGTCGATTTCTGACTTGAGATCGAATTGAATTTATTAAACAAAGATGATTTAATCAACCTGTGAATAGATGAATCGATCTGTATCCCATTTCTGCTTGTCAAACTCGGTGATGGCGAAATTAAGGGGTAAATCCATGAGTTGAAAGTGAAGATGTTGAGGGAGAGGAGGAGGACTGAAACAGGAAGCATTAGCCCCTCCGGCAGATGCAACATTGTTCCATAGAAGCCCATAATCAGCCTGAATGGCCATTTTAACGAATGGAGAAAAGCTCAGAGATATGTAGATTGACGAACTGACGAAGAGAAGTTTGGTGTGGTGGTTAAGAGGGAGTGGGAATGCGGTATGGAAAGGAAGTTATGTGTGTATGATTTTAACTTTTTAGTGTAAGAATAATACTAAGGAAAACAATTTAAGAAGGAATGCGATTAGTCCTATCAAATCAAATTCAATGAGTTGGCAAGAAGTGTATATATAGACATATAATGAAAAAATATAGAAATATAATGAAGTTCAAATAAAAAGTTGCCATTCCTGTGGAAAAATGTAAATGTCTGCATTTTTGTATTGTGGGGCATTGAAATGATGCTCTTTTCTTTTCAGTGCACTTTTGGTTCAATTTAATCTCAAAGTCCATTATCAAATTTATTCTTATTTTTAATAAAAAATAATTTTCTTAATAGTTTTTATTTTTCAAATTAAATGATAACATTAAAACACTTTTAAAAAAAGTAATTTTCTATTTGTAGAATAAGCTGTCGTCTTCTAGGGTTATCCCTAGTGGTGGTTCCCGGCGGTGGTTTAGGCCGCTTGTCCGGTGCTTGTTTTTGTTCGATTCACCATGAGTGTAATCAGTTGGAATTGCAGGGGTTTATCTAACCGGGTAACGATGCAGGGTATCACCGATCTTATTCAAACCCAAAAGCCGGACATTTGCTTCCTTATGGAGACCAAAACGCAGAGCTCGAAAGCGCAGGAGATCTTGCATCGTCTGGGCATGCCGAAGTTTGCTGGATGGGATAGCGTGGGCCGTAGTGGGGGCCTCGTTCTGGCCTGGAAGGATGACATCGATCTGAAGGTGGTATCATCGTGTGCGAATTACATAGATTGCGAGATTAGATTGGCCGTAGATGCTCCAGTGTGGCGGCTGACGGGTTATTACGCATACCCAGACACGGTCAGGAGGCGGGAAGCTTGGAACATGCTAACTGATTTGGCTGAGAACAACACATTACTGTGGATGCTCATAGGGGATTTTAACGATATTCTATACGACTCCGAGAAAAGAGGCAATATTACACACCCGGAATGGAGATTGAGGGGGTTTCGGGAGGCGGTGTTTAGCAGTGGGTTACGAGATTTCCCTTTTGAAGGTTATCAGTGGACATGGGATCGGGGGAAAGGAAAAACTTATTGGGTGGAAGAGAAGTTAGACCGCATTCTTGTTAACGATGATTGGTGGAACATTTTCATGGAAGCCAAAGCATCGTCGGTGGAAGCACCGGCAAGTGATCATATGGCCCTATGGATACGTGTCAAACCAACACTCTATGGAAGGAAGCCGAGGACTTTCAGGTTCGAGAATATGTGGCTAAAAGAAGAGGATTGTCGTACGGTGGTTGTTAACAGTTGGAGAGCAGGCCATAATTTGTCAGTCAGTGAACGTATTATTTTTTGTGGGCAAGAATTATTGAGATGGGACAACTGTAGACCGAAGGGTTTTAGACGTCAAATACAGGGGTGTAAGAGGAAATTGGCAGAAGTAAGGGGTCGGACTGATCCCTGGGGGACTGGAGAGTATATACGGCTTAAATAAACCATTCTTTCTCTCATGGAAAAGGAACACTTGTACTGGAAGCAGAGGGCGAAAGAGTTTTGGCTCAAGGAGGGGGATATTAATTCTCGTTTTTTTCATAACGCGGTTAAACAAAGGAGGAGGCGGAATAAAATCCATGGTCTGTTAGCCGAGGATGGTTCATGGATTTCGGATAGAGAAAGAGTGGCAGATACTATAAAGGATTACTTTACTAATATTTTCCAAGAGAATATGGCAGTAGGAAGCATGGAAGGGATCCGCGATCTAGCACATGTCTCGGACGAACAGAACGCAATTCTTCTTCAGCCAATTCGCCTAGATGAGGTGAAGGAAGCTATTTTCGACATGCATCCGGACAAAGCTCCTGGCTCCGATGGTATGAATCCGGCTTTTTTTCAAAGGTTCTGGGATATAGTGGGGGCTGAGGTAGTTTGTTTATGCTCGAGCATATTTAATACGGGTAGCATGCCCCGGGAATTAAATATTACGAACATTGTTTTGATCCCTAAAAAAGATAAACCGGAAAATATGGGTGATTGGAGACCCATTGCTTTATGTAATGTGTCTACAAAATTTTCTCAAAAGTTATTGCTAATAGATTGAAAGGCATTTCGGGGGGGTTAGTTGGAGAGAGCCAAAGTGCATTTATACCAGGGAGATCAATTGTAGACAATATTATCGTGGCTTTTGAGACTCAATATTTATTAAAAGGAAAAGCACTGGAAAGGAAGGGTATGTGGCAATGAAGTTAGACATGAGCAAGGCATATGATAGAGTTAGCTGGAATTTCTTAAAAGAAATTATGGTGAGAATGGGTTTCCAGACCCGATGGGTGGATATTGTGATGTTGTGTGTTACATCTGTTAGCTATTATGTCCAGTTTGATAAAGATTATTTAGGACCGATTGAACCTGGAAGAGGTCTTCGACAGGGGGACCCTCTGTCACCATATCTATTTATTTTAGTGGCAGAAGGACTGAGTGCGATGCTTCGACGGGCTGAACAGATGGGGAATTTGCAAGGAATTTCGGTTTGCCGGGGAGCGCCTAAGGTGTCGCATTTATTATTTGCTGATGATTGTTTTTTATTCTTTAAGGCATCTGAGATGAATTGTACTGCGATTAAAAATATTCTTCAGGATTATGAGAGAGGTTCGGGGCAGATGGTCAATTTTAATAAATCTTCCTTGACATTTAGCCCAAATGTAGGAGAACCTTTTCGCGAGTATTGCTGCCAGCATTTCGGCGTTTCTAGGAATGGAGGCCAGAGTTTGTATCTCGGGCTTCTAGCTCTTGTGGGGAAGAATAAGACGGTGATTCTTAGCTATCTTCGGGACAGGATCTTTAGCAGAATTAAGAGCTGGAATAATAGATTTCTATCTCGTGCGGGGAGAGCTGTTCTGCTACAGAATGTGGTGCAGGCTATGCCTAATTATGCTATGAATGTGTTTTTACTGCCCAAAGATTTATGTGATGATATTGAAAAATTAATGAATGGGTTTTGGTGGAGGGGCGTCAAATTTGAGCATAAAGGGCTAAGATGGAGGCGGTGGGAGGTGTTATGTAGGCCAAAAGAAGCAGGGGGGTTGGGCTTCAGGAGAATTAGAGAATTTAATCTAGCCATGTTAGCAAAGCAAGGGTGGCGGCTGGTCTCTGATAGTAAGAGTTTGATGAGTCGAGTTTTGAAGGCTAGGTACTTTTCCAATTCTTCTTTTTTGGAGGCTCAGGTGGGCAACAAACCATCTTTTATTTGGCGTAGCATTTTTGAAACTCAAGGTATTTTGAAGGATAATGTTCGAAGAAGAGTAGAGAATGGGGTTGAAGTTCAGGTCTGGGCAGATGCATGGCTACCGGGTCCGGGGTTGGGGAAAATCACTTCAGCCAGACCGCCAGGGATAAGAGATATGAATGTAGCAGCTCTGCGGAATATCACTGGCAAAGAATGGAACAGGGAGAGGATTAATAATTTATTTAATGAGGAGGACCGTAAACGCATTTTGAGTGTTCCCATTAGTGTGCAGGATCGGCCAGATGCTTACTGTTGGGCTGGTGAGCTACATGGTAATTTTTCGGTGAAGAGTTGTTACCGGAATTTAATGGGTGATCAGGTCGAGGGAGCCTGGGGGGATGGAGCAGGTTGTGGGAACTCAGTATCCCTCCAAAATTTAAATACTTTACATGGCAAATCTTGGATGGCACTCTACCAACTGTGGAGAATTTGAGGAAGAAAGGTATCCTTATACAAGGGGGGTGTCGGGTTTGTGGGTGTCCTGAGGAAACTGCGGATCATGGTTTGCGAACTTGTCCACGAGCTAGAGAAGTTTGGCGCCAAGCGGGTATCCAGGTTGATAGCCAAAGGGAAAGCCTCGATCGGTGGCTGAAAAGGCATATTGATCATGCCTCGGGGGATGTGAAGGGCAGAATTATTGCATTGTTGTGGTGCTTATGGAAGAGAAGGAATAAATTGGTTTGGGATAATCAGTTCCTAGATTCGAATGTGGTGGCTCATATGGCAGCTGGTATGCTCAAGAATTGGATGGAGATTAACTCACGAAGTGTGGCGGCGGTTGCTGGTCTTGTAGCCAGTAGCAGGTTAATATCAGGCCAAGGGGGAGCTGCAACGGGCCAACGGGTTGCAGGGGGGAGGTGGAGCAAACCGAAGGAAGGTTGGGTGAAGGTGAATGTAGATGGAGCAGTCAACCATGAAGAGGGTATTAGAGCTTGGAGTTGGGTTGCTCGAAATGATCACGGTGTTTTTATTAGGGCTTATGGGGTTGCTACAAAAGCAGAATGGTTGGCGGAAGAGACGGAGGCTATCGGTGTGAGAGAGGCTGTGCGGGGAGCTTTGGAAGCGGGATGGGATAAAGTGCAGATAGAGTCTGATGCTCTTACAGTGATTCAAGGTTTGCAGAGGCAGAGGGGAGCTTCTTATCTTTCTCTGATTCTAGACGATATTAGTCACTTACTTAAGTCAAAGAGTATGTTTGATATCTCTTTTTGTAAAAGGTCTGCGAATCATGCTGCTCACGCTTTGGCTAAAGCACATGTTAATTCACCATATCAGCAGGTCATGTATGAGGTTGCTCCAGATTGTATGTTTAGCCAATTGGCTAATGACCTTTTAGATTAATAATATTGATGCTTTTGACGATCAAAAAAAAAATCTTATTTGGAGTAAAATATATTTGGATTTATATATGAGTATCGAGAGTTCATACGTATGTATGCTTGTGATATATATAGGCAATATAATGTTCAAAGGAAAAGACATATTTTCATGAAAAGTGAGAATAAATTTAAACGTTTGATCACTTAAAATGAATGAAATCAATCATTTAAAAGAAAATTCGCGGTGATATAATTGTAAATATATATTGAGTTTAGATTTGCAATATTCAATAGAACCCGTGCATATGTTTTACGTCGACATGTTGCACTACATAACGTCACTATGCATGCTCCTTAAGGCTACCAAAGAACACATGTCGTGTTCTCATTAGTTATCATTTTTGAGTCAGTAACCCATGCCTTATATATTGTTTATAAATAACATATTCTTTTTTCGGAACGTTGTCCGAAATAAATTATCTGCACTGTTACTCTGCTACATTTAATACACAATTTTCTCACTCTAGAACTTCTCTAATTTCTCTTTAGTTTTTTTGCTATACCGGATCCTGTAACCCATCAACATCTTTTTGTTTCAATATGGATGCACTTTGATATTACAAGAATGAGTTGTTCTTTTATACCAATGCCCATTCAACATTACTTTATTTTCATAAAAGTTCTTCATAATTACAATTCTATCACTACATTATTCACTTTAAAAATAATCTTTGACAGATGATCCTAGCTACATGTCGTTCATAGTTTGTCTTTCCTTTTACTTAACTGTACAACTTTGTAACTTTGTTGCTCTAATTTACTTTTCATTACTACAATAAAAGTAAGAGATACAGAGTATTATTTAAAAATAGGATTAAAGCATAATTAAACTTCAAAATAGGACTAAATGTTTTGTTCTCAAAATAGTCTGGAGTACTTGTTTAGCTTTATTTAAAAGAATAAAATAATAAAAAGTTCCCTCTTGCAAAAAAATCTTCCCATGAATTCATGGTTCCTTTTTTGGGAAGAAACAATTTTACTCTTATTTGAAAAAATTCAAAATTTGATATATTTTGCTCCCAATTAGAAGATTTTTTCTTAAAGTAAAAAATATCTTGGGCATTTTATACATTTTTTTAACAAGCCCAAATTAAGTGTCACCATTAATCTGGATTCTGGAACGAGGGAATAACTTATATATAAAATTAATGATAAGAAAATGTATACATGTTTCATGAATTTAAAAATTGTGGACAAACTTGTGCTAGGTTTATAGACATGAGGATGAGGATTTAATCAAGATTCTAGGACAAGCTTGTCTAATAAGTTCAAAGCTAAGACAAATTAAACAAATACATGAACTTTGGAATTTATATTTCCTAAAGAATATTTTCCCAAAGCAAGGACAAGAAACAATATCCATAAAGAATAATTTTAATCAAGGAATAAGATTAAATGAAAAATAAATCGACCACAGTTTCTTCTTTTTTCATAACCACTTATGGGTATGATTAGGGAAAGTCAAGACTACTAAAAGTGATCAAATCTATTAAAGGCATTTCCACGAAAATATAAATAGTAGCAGAAGTCAGTCATGTTATATTATTTGCATGTTGGTTAAACAATATCAGTAGCAAATATTTTAACTTATCATTGCCTCATGATATAATATTTTTCTTGCACGTGGTATTGTGGTAATCATCTATATGATGGTGGTTTTAGAATTTTCTTCTCATTATCCTTCTTAAGATGGTTTTGACAGGAAAGGCAACCTTGAACAAAATTGGGACAATATAAGTAATGAAACCGACCCCAACTCACTGGGATTAAGGTCTTAATTATGATCAAATTATTTTCCTGTTTACCATCCCAAAAGAATCTTCTTATATTGTTTTAGGGAAGAAATGTATGTTTCTTATCATTTCACTCATATCAACTCTAATCTCGACCACACATTCTCATTTTCAACCACTCTTAAAAAGTGCGTAAAATAAAAAAGAGGAGATAATTTCAAGACGGGGGGAGTACTAGAACCAACCGTTCAGTGTTGAGAATATGTGAATATGTGATACACAAAAGTCCCAAATGCAAAAGCAGGAAACTGAAGTGAGGTTTGGTTAAACAGAAAAATATCGTGCAAACCTTACTTTTACTACTCACCTTTTTTATGAATCCTTCTCGAGATATGGCGACTAGACATACTGTTATCTACTCCACTCGCCGAAAGATCCTTCAGTCCTGAACATTGATTGTTGAAACATTGCAAGCTCTCAAACTCACAAATACTGATATCTTGATTGTTCAATGTCATACCCTCTGAGCTTTTACCTTCGGAGCCAGGATGGAGACAATAAACTTGATCATCACAATGCATATTGCAGGGGTTCAATACATATGATCCAGGCAGGGTAGGATTAGTGATCACTGGTTTCTGGTATGGAAACGACCCGATCTCACCTTCTATCCTTCCCCTAAGATCAACAAGCAAACACTTGAGCCTGGAAATCTCTGCTTCCAGCAATGCCTGGCCCTGAAGCCTCTTCAGCAATTGTTGGTTTATAGCCCTCAACCTGACAACTTCATTCTCCAAAGAAGCAGCCCTTTCCTTCTTCTTCTCCCTGTACTTACGGACTGCTTCCCGATTGCCTGAAGGCCGTTTCTTTGATTTCTTGCCTGCATATTCTGCAGTATCATCACTGGGTGCCCTATCCTCTTCGCTTTGAGAAGGCACTATTTTGGTGTGAACATGGTAACACATGTGTGTGTGAGAGTTATCAGGCCCAGGTGGATTGCATGTGTGAGTATGAGTGCAAGCATGAGTATCACTGAGTATATCATTCCAGAAGCTACTCAGTGAACTGCTTTCAGGAAGATCACCAACACAGGGACTTGATAACATGTCTTGGTTAGAAAATTCAAGCTCACCCTCATCCATTTTGCTCACAAATCCCTAAAAACAAGAAAGGAAAAAACTAATAATGCAAACCAAGATCAAACTATACCACCAGTCTAAACCAGAACATTAAGTTCCTTATTGCGATCAGGCATGAAGTCTTCAAGCATAAGACTTGAATTTTAAATGAAGATAATTAATTCCTAAAATAATAGAAACAATAAAATCCTAGCAATGAAATATACCTAAAAGTCGAAAAAAGAGCTTTTCACCTGGTGAGTCGTGACATTGTGACAACGAGTTCCATATTGAAGAGAGAAAAAGGAACTTAAAGCGAAATAATGAAATAAAGGTACTGAAAGCAGTAGTGCACTTACAAGTTACAATTCAGAGAATTACCGAAAAAACTATTCGAATTGTCCCGACATTTAAAAGCAACAAGAAACGACGATGCGATTTGGGCGACTAAGAAAAACCCTATGAAAGGTTAAGATGGAGAAGATAACATTGAAGTATTGAACTGTGACAATGGCGGTCAAATTTGTATCTCTGAAATCTATGGCGATAAGAAATTAAAATATGTGCCGAGTATTTACTTACGGTGTCAAGTCTCAAGAAATGTCTTTTGAGTCTTTTCCATTTAAAGAAAGTCTTTCAAATAGAATTAAAAGACATAAAAAATACATAAATAAGATTAATAAGATTATGGATGTTTTCATTTGGATTGAAATTTGTTGGTATGCTCTGATCTGATAAATGTCTGGTCTCTATGTATTTTATAACTATTAAAATCTGGTATGGTTTGATCTGGTCCGGTAAGATCCATTTAATATTATTAAAATATAAATCTCTTCAATTGAGAATGAATGAATCATATTTTAGAAAGAAAACAATAATGGTCTTAGTTGTATATTTCAGTCTTAGACAAGATTGGACTGATTTATTTTTTATTGGACTGGTTTCAGTCTTAGACAAGATTACACTAGATAAAAATAAAAAAAAAATCCAATGAAAAACATCTTCATCTATGAATTAGTCCTACACTCTTTCTTAATGAAGTTTCTCTACCATTTATCACTCTTTCGATCTCTTTTGGGAAAGAAGTTTATGCTTTGATCCTTGCACACATATATACAGGGTTGAGTTCTAATACAAAGAGGTCTTCTAATGAAAAGTGAAAAGGATCTAAATATTGATCATTTTAAAATGGATGGAATAGATCAAAATATAATGCTCTAATCAATAAATTTATCCATATCTATCAAAAAGTAAGTTTATTGTGAAAAATAGACAACTAAAGTCATTTCTCGGATCAAATTTTACATCACATATGTACATTTTCATGGATAAGTACTTCATATTTATATATTTATCAACTATGGGGCTTTGGAACCAAGAACCGGCAAATTGAATCAAACTGAATTGTTATGATCTAGTTCGGTTCCAACATTAATTAGTTGCGTAGTATTTATTAACGATTAGGTTCCTGTTTTTATTAACGGTTTAGATCTCGATTCCTATAAAGAATATGTGTGCGAAACTGTTAAGAAACCATTATATATAATTAAATTTTTATCTATTAAATTCACTAATCGTGTTTACTTAATAGAATTGATAACACGATAAGTATTTAACCGATAATAAAAGTTGCGTTTTTTTAAATAGTTCCACATGTGTTGCCAAGTATTGAACCGATCCCAGGCTAAATGGGATTACATTTCAACGTAAACAAAATTACAAGATTAAAATGAGCATTTGAATAAATTACACGAGAAAATTTATAATACAAAGTATTTCTTTATCTAATACTCTCTTGTCTCTAAATTATTTTCCAAATTTCTTTTTTCAATTAGCTCATTAAACTTTCATCTTCCCTTGTTAGTAAAGAATTTGTATTTCACCACGCTTCTTATATACGATAGTATTTCTCATTATACCGGGTTGGGCTGGGTGTTTTGGAGAGGTTTGGGGGGTGGGGGGTGAAGGGGTGGGGTTCCGGTTCTGGTTCTCCCTTCCCTAGGGAAATATTGTACAACTCTTTAGAAAAACAACCTTATTTTACTCTTATATAGAGAATCCATGTATAATCTACTTTTAAAGCAACAAAAACGAATAGTGCATAACTCAAAATGTACTAATAAGAATGAATAAAAGAAGGTTTCTATTCACACTAGCATTATATATATATAACATTATGAAGCAAAATTATGGCACTCGATGGCTAAATATAATAATTCATGAGCCACGAAGAACCCTCGTCTCATAGTAATTAACCAAAACAACACTTCAATCTAAATAAATAAATAAAATAAAAACTGGTATACATCTGATTGATAAACATCAGAAACAGTAGTACAGATTGCACAACAGTGAGAGTTAAGTTCTCAGTGTGTGTCGATTTCCAACTTTTGCATCAAGTCAAAGCATCCAGTACCAACCTTCACGGGTAAGCCCATGCAAATCCTCGAAGATGGCGTCTCCAGATGATCAGTCATCCCATGAGATGCTGCTTCAACTATGAATTTTGATGCTGTTTCGAAGGACATCTTCAAAAATGGTGACAATGAATCAGCCATTCTTCCATGTCTACTCATGGATTGGTACCCACCAGTCTGGGTCATGGAGTCGGCAATCAGGCTCAAGTGACGATAATCAATCTCCACACCATAAATGCCGAAAACTGTCTTCACCTCTTTGATGATGGTTGCCCTGGCAGCTTCAACCCCATATGTTCTCAACATTGCATATATGTTATTGCTGTATATCCTATTTACATCCAGTTTATCCTGCATTTCCCAAAAGGCACCAAAATCCACTCCACCGGCTTTCAGTGCCCAGTAAAGGGGGGCGTCTTTGCTATCGTCATCTTGAAACTTCTTCACTTCATTCGATTTCTCCCCATCCCAAAGCACTGTATTTTCATCTACCTCATATTTAACCATTCTACACTGGTGGATCTTCCCAGAACTCCTTATGAAAACTTTCTTTGCAGTCTTTTGGACCACCTGTGTATGTTTCAGCTCTTTAGATTACGAATTCAGGAGAGAACTAAACCAAAGTTGAAAAAGTATAAGATCGCTGGACTGAAGTTTAAGATGAAAAAGATACCTAGGCATGCAATGTTGAACCAAAGTTGTTATTTTCTAATGTAAGACTAACAGGTTATGATAAGACAAAAACCTCCCCACTTCTGAATTCTCCAACAAAACAAACTAAAAAAAATAGATTACATTATTCTCTACTAATTTCTTGAATACATTTTAGTGAATTAAGTCAGCAACCAGATCAAATAAGTATCATAAACATGAAGAATATGAATCATCACAAAAAGGGATATTTAAATAAAGCTTAAAAAAGGCTAGCAGATACCTGTGCTAGTAAGATATGAGGATCATTACTTTTAAGCTTGAAGTGGGCTTCAAAATGTGATCCTTTCACTGCGCTGAAGATGGCCCTGTCATGTTCCTTTCTATCATATTCCTTTTCCCGCTTTACTTCATCTGTTGTTGATTTGGTCAATTTTTGCCTTGCTTTAGCCTGTTTTGAATCTCTCTCTTCAGCTTCATCATCAAACATGCTAGCTTCTTCTTCTTCCATCTTATCTATTTCATCATTTTTTACTTCAGAAGACAAAGATGAGTGATCATCGTTGTCAGAATTGTCCTCGTCATAATCTACCTCATCCGTAGCTTGCTCTTTTCTTTTTTGAGCATCAGAACCAAGATCATCAGCTCCATCTTCATCATCATCATCATCATCCTCATCATCGCCCACTGTATCACATTGGGATCCGGAGCCAGGAACATCTGCATCTGATTCATCTGATGCACCAGAATGCTGGGTATTGGTTTTGAAATTTTTTATGCCGCTAATTTTAGAAAGCAGATGCACATGATTTTGGATTGCATCCTCTAATCCCCTCATAAAGGTAGTTTTGAGGGTACGCTTGCAGTCTTTCAACGAAACAAAATCATGTTTCTTGAGCTTCACAATAAGTTTGAATACTCGAGAGATCTGGTTCTCGATAACTAAAGGTGTCATATGGACTTCCATGCTCTCAATCATGTCTGCAATGGTGACCTTCATAACTTTTGCGAGAAGAGACCGGGCATCATCCCTGAAAACAATAAACAAATGGTAGGTGGTGCACTAACCCAGACATAATCAGCGTGAGCAAAAAACTATCACGACCAGAGGACAAAACAGTCATTCAAAATCATCACAAATAATGTAATGCCCATGGAATCTCATCTTGAGCCCATTATGTTTATCATAAATGTTCTGAAGCATGAAGACACCAGCTTTTCTTTTACAGAATCATCTCTCTGACAAGGACATTTATGCCCATAGATCTTTAGCAGAGATGCACAAAAGCTTCAAGGCAAAAATAGCATCGAGAAAAACCATCACGAGATCCCATAAAAACTAATTTCTGTCAAGAAAACACATTAAAAACTAAAAATGAAGACTAACGTGTCAGAAACATTGAGGTATCGAGGAAACGGGTTTCCATATTTTTTAAATTACATAAACAGCATAGAACAATGAATTCGAAGTTTCCAAGAGACTCTAAAAGGGAAAAGGAAATTACTAATTACTCTAAAAAGGAAAAACATGGACTCTATTCGCAGGACAACTATTACTCATTTTAAAAACAAAGGACGAAGACCTTACATTTCAGAAACATCAAGTAATCATGGTAATTGGTTTTCCAATGTTTATATATTACAAAAAGAGCATAGAACCAGCATGTCAGGGCCTATGAAGCGGTAGGGAAATCTGGCGAATCCAAGGGAATTCAGGGCAAATCCTGGCAAGGTAGCTGACCACACGGCCACTACGATTTGTTTCGGCTCTTCCATCACTGCTCTACAAGGGGGTGACCAGCAGTTTTTGGAGTCTAGTCAAAGACTGCGAACCCGATGGGACTTCAGTGAAGGCGACGACACGCTCGAATGTGATGGTGGAAGCTGCTACAGAGACAACAGCTCACAAGTCACAAGAGATCCAATTGCCCTCAAACGGCCGGGTCTCATCTCCAGCAGCGATGGGACCTCAAATCCGAAGCTTTTCCCAGTGACGGCGACGAAGGACCTGCGACCAGATGGGGTCAGTTCAGGGTCGGTGGAATTGATCGGCAAACTGCGTCTCGATTCCTAAGGTTGCAAGACCATCGGTTAGACTGCTGCTACGCCGGTGAGCTATTGGTCGACGATGGCTCCAACTTCTGATGGCAACCAGCGAATCCATCACACCTTAGGAGGATTTCAGCAGTCCGTCGGCAGGCAAATGCCTTTCGGCTCCCACCAGTCCGGAGATTATGTTCTAGGCAACGTCCAGGAGTCATAGGGCTGGGATTTAAACAATATCCAGATTTGCGACGTTGTAGAGCCAAGTGCAGACCATTGGAAAACCAGGTGTGGCAGTTCACACCACAGCGCAGGGAGCAGAGAAACTTCCCTTTCCATGGGAACGAATTTTATGGTCGCTGGAACCACAGGATCAATTCAGAAAGACCAAGGGCTACAGAAGTTTTAACAAGGCGGCGTTTTTTTCTTAGATTTGTCCACTAGAATAGCAATGGTTTTTTTTTAAATTTCGAATTGGAGGAATTAGATGACCGGAAGAGAACATCAGTCAGGTATCAGCCTAAATTCTTGGCAGCTCCTCTGAATGAGTTGGGCTTTTCAATAGAAAGAAAATTTTTGAAAATCAATATTCTTAATTGCAACTCTTTTTGCAAATCTGAATCAAAGAATGGGATGACTTCTAATATTGTTCTTGATCTTGAAATAGCAATTTGGTTGAAAGACTCCATTCCAAAGCTTTTTTCGGGGAGTTGGTCTTGCACTAGACTGGAGCTGAATAACTCATTTTCCATACTCTATGATGTCAATTACTTTGGAGATTTCATGACTTCATCTGTATTATTGACAAGGGAAGAGATTATCTATTTATCCCTGAAGGACATAATAGTGTGGGAATTAATTGCTTCTTGACTTGGCTTTCAAAGGCAATTACTTTGACAAATACAATTGATGTCAGAGAGGCACCACTGGAGATCGAACTGGCTACAAATAAGGACATATTCACTTCTTCCTATGGTTTAGAGAGGGAACTCATGCCTTCCTCTAATTGGTCGGATGGATATAATAACAAGTCTGACCTCTCAATTTCAAAAGCCTGTTTTGAAGTTGATATTGAGAAATTGGATTGCACTGATAATTCTTTGGAATGGCACTCTACTAACAACTTCCACAATTCTGAGCAAATTGGCTTTGACAAAATCAGCCAATTTCTAAGGGGTGGACTCACTTTCTAAATTTTTAATTAACAAATTCGACAAAATTCTCGTATCAGCTTTGACTAATCGTGACGCTTTGAATAGTAAACCTGTTGATGAGGAGAAAGCTACTGATTGCGCAAATGCAGGAGTCGGCCTTTCGAAGGATGTTTTTACAGGTAATCAATACCCCGAGGCTTTTGAACGTGTCTATGGAGAACAATTCTTTTTATACTCAGGACGATTTCTTTGGCCATGCTTCTGCAAGCGCGAAGAGAGTGTCTATTTCATCGATGGAAGATCTATGGGACTCCGATACAAATCAAGATATTTGTAACAAAGCCTGATTTGTTGCAAGAGAAGTAGAGAACCTAAACTAAGGTCACATCTTATGAGGACTAGATCCCAAACATGAGTGGAATTTGGAAGTATCGACTGAGTTGTTTCTTAGGGCATTTTTGGTAGGGAAATTTTGAAACTGTTTGGGTTGGGTGGTTTGTTTTTGTATTTTTTTATTTACTTTATTCCCTTTCCTTCTTCATCTTTCACGCTTGTATTTTCCTCTACTTCGTCATTAATAAGTTTATCTTTTTTGTTCAAAAAAGAGAGCATAGAACCGTAAATTTGAAATTTCTAAGTTTCTGACACATTCTTGAGTTTCTGAAGAGGCAAAACATGAGCTATATTCTTAAGTTGTAACAAATTAGCCCAATTTCTATATCGACTTATACTTCACAGAATTTGGTGGATATCAATATGTATGATTCTGGTGATGAATACGCACTGCAAGAAATAGAAAGCAGCAATTTACCTTGATGTCCACCCAAGGAAGGGACAGGACAAAAAAGGAGTCCTAATCACATCAGAAGCTGTCATCAGAATCTCTTGAAGACGTGGAATACCTAGTGTAACATTCATTTCTCCACGGCCAGCGAGATGGAAAGTGTTTAACCTGGGAACGGAAGAGTTAAATCAGTGATATGGTGTTAGATTCATTAAAAAAGATTAAACAAACAACATCGGTTTGATATGGTGTTAGATTCATTAAAAAAAAATAAACAAATGGCATCGGTTTTGACTTGTAACCATTTACTGTTCCTCTACACCTACGGGTAGAGATAAGGCAGACGAAGACCTACCAATACTTCTAAGTGGGACATACTGGCTATGGTTGGTACGGTTACCTCAAACATTCATGTTAACAAAAAGGACTCAAAATTACACCTCAAATCCATCAAAAAATCATTTACAACAATCATTCTTTCTGAAATTGGTGCATTGAAACCTGGTGTATCAAAAGTTCAGGATAGTGGCCAACAATCAAAACCAACATAAAAGAAAAAGTGAGTAAGAAACCAAAGGAGAAACACAATACATTATACTCCACCCATCCCAGGGAAAAACAATGATATAGCCAATACATTGCAGAGTCCATGTTTCTTACTGTACACTTTTTGATATACAGCTGGAGACCATCTAATATTTCTTCCAATCCTTTTGAACAAACATGTGCTACACTTGCATTATCGTAAAGATTATTACCTTGTGGGAACTTATATTGACCATTTGTTCTATTTAAATAATTACAATGTCGAGTCTATTATATTATACAACAACATCCAAGCCTTAGTCCAAAACGATTATAGTATATTATATGGAGTAATAATATTACATCTGAAGCGACTTGCCGCTTAGACGGGGGCCTAGATGCCTAGGAGATAAGGCAGTCAGCTGGCACTGCACCTCACCTAGCCTCCATGACAACTGTGGATATAGAAAATAAACCGCTAGAAGAGCTAGAACAAATTGGCAAAAAACATGCTGGAGAAAAAGTAACAACCCTTCATCATTTCTAAGAGAAAGAGCTGACTCTATGCCACATGATTATGGTTTTGATGGCACGTTAAAATTGTGGTATTTAAATGTCTAACAGCTAGAGAATGGCCACCACTAGCCAGTTAACAAAAGTGAGTAGAGGAACACGAAGATATGAGGATATGATCCAATATATAGCAGCAGTTATATACTCTCTTGCAATCATGGAGTCTTTTTATAAGGACTTGAGTAGATAAACAAGTGATCAACCCTATGTAGTTGACATAGAGAAGCAGTAGCAGACCTTCAGAACATTCGGCAGACTTTGGGAGCGATCTAACAAACCTTTAGATTATAAATCCCTAGTGATTATTAGACATGCCTGTCAGCACAAGGCGCACCATGGAATTTCCATGTTAATTTGTTTGTGAAATAATCAATCAAAGATTATGTGAAATAATATTGGCATAGAGGCAAGGCATGCTCCACCAACTACATCAAGCTCCAGTGCTCCACAACTTCCAGAGTGAGAAGGGAAAGTTGGGTAGATGTGGGTAATGAAGAGACAAAGAATATGAAGTCACAATGGAAATCCATCTACACGCCCTTGACAGAGTACAAAACTGAGAGATACAATTGGAACACTGCCTAGGGCCTGCTTAATTATAAGACAAATATGGCAAGTAATGCTTAGCAAACAAGACGAATGATACCCCACGCTTGCACCACGAGTCACTTGGACATGCGCCGATGCTGCGAATGCATCCATAACATAGTTGAAAGGTTGATTCACAAAATAGAAAACAAGTTAACAAACCTAGTATACAATAGAGTTGGGACCCTTTAGTTGTAGATCTTAGAGCTAGCAGTGAAGAGTGTTTTATAATACACCTTTCCGCAATTCAGAAAACACAAAAGTTATACCGCAGTATGACTTATGTCATTACACAGTCTTCCTTGTTTCGGTTAACCAAAGACGATCAAGAAATATGTCCTGCGTCCTTAGCATTCTTTTTGTTAACAATAACTAAACAAAGGGAAAACTACCAAATAAGCCCTCGAACTTACATAAAAAAGTGCAAATCACCCTCTTATAAAGGAGGTTCTGTCCGGCCGTCGCCATTTGGGGCGGTTCCCGGTGGAACTTTTTTATGAATTTCTTTTAGCATCTTCTTCATTAAATCTAGTTTACCCATACCAAATTTCAGCTAAAAATTCAACCGGGAAGGCAGTCAAATGATTTACTGAAATATACTGCGATGTTTAATTGCACAGTTATCGTCAAAATTCATTGGACTGCCTTCCCGATTGAATTTTTAGCAAACTAGACTTAATGAATAAGGTGGTCAAAAAAATTCATCAAAAAATTCCACCAGGAACAGCCCCAAATGGCGACGGCCGGACAGAACCTCCTATATAAGGGGTGATTTGCACTTTTTATGCAAGTTCGAGGGCTTATTTATTAGTTTTCCTCGTAAACAAATGATTATCATAATCCTACTCGACTTTCACTCTATTCCTTTTATCACCCAGAACAAACAGCTAAGACAAATCTACCTCCTGATTTACATAAAATCCTACACACTGCAACTACTTTTGTTTAAAGTATTATAACTATTTAGGTATAGACATAACCTGCAACTACCAAGACTATTTATGAAGGCAGGTTTGACTAAATCAAGTTGGATGAAGCTATCTACATGTTTATGGTGCGATATACTGAATATTACAAATTTCATCCACAAAAATAAAATAAAAAACTAAAGAAAAGTTGAGATGTTGAAAGACAGTAGGACCAGGAAAGCAGCAAATTTAGTCCTGCAGACTGCAAGTCAACAACTGATTCGTGAAAAGTATCATAACTTGTGAGTACAGAGAGACAAAATTGCAACTGTCAACACCATTATGAAGGCAGGTTAGATTAAATCTAATGGATTGCAGCTATCTAGAGGACATGATGAGGCCAAGTACTGGATACTGCAAAAATCTTTCATGGGAAATAAAAAATCTAAAGAAATGGTGAAAAACTGAGTCACAATGGAAACAGGAAAGGAGCAGATTTAATCTCTTCCATCAAAGCTAAAGAATGCAGCCCAAGCACTAGGAATTTACAGGAAATGTACAAAAATGCTGTAACTTACGTCATCTGAGTTGATGGTTCACCTATGGACTGACCAGCTATTACACCAACCGGCTCTCCTGACTCAACCAGACTATGCAAATACTTCTGTTCCACTAATTTAAGAAAGGCCCCCAGCTTGTTGTTTCCTTCACTCAGCTGATCCTCTTGTTTCTCAAGATTTTCCCCTTTCACATGCTTTGGTAAAAATTTCTTTGATTTTTTATCTAGCTTTTTCTTCCTTTCCATCAAGAACTTCTGCACTTTCTCTTTAAGACCATCAGGCAATTTCTCAATGTAAGAATTAAACTCGCGTGCATGCCGAAACTTTTGACGGATGGTTTCTTCATTCTGAGTATCAACAAAGAGAAACAGAAACTCAATATTTTTCCAAATTGATAAAAATCGCAGTATAATCACACATTGTTTTATAGCCAGGGTATACTTTTTGAAGTGCCTTCAGGTTTTTCAGAAAGCTAGTACGATGCACATCAACTGCATCTTCACCATAGTAAAATTGGATGATGGATCCATCTGCATCACGAACAGTATAATCATAGCATACTGTAAGGCTCTCAAGATTTTTTACCAAGCATCTCTGTAGATATCCACTACGGGAAGTCTTAACAGCAGTATCTACTAGTCTGTACAAACAAAGGGGTGAGATTCAGACAGGTGGTGTGTCATGATTATCACAAAAATCAAAGCTCAAGTTATGAATATGCAGACAATGCTGAAGCTTAGATGCACCCAAAGATTCCCATAATCCCAGAGAGGATCGCTCCTGCAAGACGTTGAAGAAGAACAATGGTGTGTCTAGCCTTTTCTTTCCTAGAGGTGATCCCCAATTATTGAAAACAGCGACATGGTAACAAACGACTACTTAGCCTTCTCAGTACTCAATAGCAAGATTATTGGTTGTTAAAATGGATGACATACTAGAGTACAAATAGTGGTCATTTGTTACAGCAAGTGCAACATATAAAAGGATAAATGCTAAAACAAGGAACGAAGTCAAGTATAGTCAAACAAACAGATTAATGTGGTTGATGCAATTGAGTAGGTATAAGGCAAAAATGTCAGTAGCAAGAATCATTATATCCATCATATTCTATGACAAAAAACATAGTCCAATTCAGTCATTATATCCATCATATTCTATGACAAAAAACATAGTCCAATTCAATCATTAAAAACGTAGATGTAACTCTAGTCATCACAAAATGGTAAAACAAGAGAAATAAACTACTTTAAAATCCACATTCTCAACATTACCCATTAAATATCACTTAATGAAAACCATGTTTTGAAAATAATAAGGTAAATGGTAAAACATTATAACAAAAGAAGGATGATTATTGAAAAGATGAGTATACTTTGGAGGAAATCGTAATTGGTACATTAAAGAAAGCACAAAGTATAAGTTACAATCAACCTATTACATCAACGAAGAATTTTAGGGTTACCGTCTCAAGCCTCTTTACATTGCCTCTTAAGTAACAGTTAAACAAAGCACCATATCCTACTAACTACCAAATGGAGTAGTAAACATATTCCCCTGGTTAAAAAGATCTAGATTAAGTGGTGTGAATGCATGCCTTCATTTATCATGCTGTCAACTTTAAATGTGTAGAGACTAGAGGGTCTTGATTTTTAACTAGGTTATGTCTTCCAGATTTCAGGTTCTAATGGTCAAATCAAGTGGATAACAAAACTGTCATCTTTGAGGTTTATTCATGATAACAAAAACAGACACGGAACAATTTTCATCTTAACTAAATAATTCTTAATTTTCCATCATTTGCAATGGAGCCAAAGGCTCACTATTTTTTGGCATGAGAATATGATGGAAATCATAGTTGTCATGGCGCATGGCAAACATCATGGCTCAAAGACATTTTTCATGGCGCATGGCGATGGCGCATATGCAGGGGCGCATATGGCTCATATGGCACCGACCACTTTTTCATTGTGATGGTGCATATGTCACGCGCCATATCTCGCCATTGATAACTATGGATGGAATAAAGTAAAATGGCTCACTAAACTGTCTGCGCTTCTTTGTTATGAAGCAGTAGTCAATTCATGCAATTTTCGACGCGATTTTCATCACGGGTCACCAGGAAACAAGGAAACAGTCTCTCTGTGCTTTAAGGCTTCGTGCATCGGACCCCTCTTACCCCACCGCAAGTGGGAGGAGACTTTGCGGCACTTGGGTAATGTTGATGGAACGAATGAACTAAATAATTCTTAAACATTATAATTGTGAGCATGTGTGTGATATGATAGTTGTGATGTGTATGCAGGAAATTTGAAGAATGAGGAATAAGTGGATATACCCTTCACGGCCAGCCATGCAGTGAAAGTAGTATTCTTGGGGACGAAGTCCAGTAAGAAATCGGTCGGTGATAAAGCCTCCTGCCCTGGAGGTGAAGTCCCAAGGGGGGAAGCATGGCAAAGTTTTCCCAGAAACCATCCTAGGTACCCGTTTTCCTTCGAGCTCTTGTTGGCCCAGATATGATGATATTTGTTGAAAATTAACCTGCAGGAAGCATAAAGTAATTTAAGGAGGATGACACTGGCAATATGTTAGTTATTTCAGCATATCGATTATGCAAAATCTGTAATGTTCACAAGGGGTTAGATCTTCAATTTTGATAATAAATTTTAAGATAAGGTCATACATATATTATTAGTTGGTTATTAATATATTATATCTTTGCCTCTAGAACAAGTAAATAAATTTTGATTCACATTCAACTTGACAGTCCAAACCAAGAACTTGGAAGAGTAATTTCTAAATGTAAATGGCAAAACAACCAAGGATAGTTGGGGGGGACTATCAAGTATCAACTATTTGAAGGCCACTTGTTACTATTTTGCAAGTACAGAAATCATATTAAAAGGATGCAACTCTTTGAGGGCTACGAAGGGTCTAAAAAGATTGTGAAGAAAAATGAGAAGAAAAATATAGCGAACAGATCAAGCATATCCAAAAAGAATCAATGAAAAAGTAGCAATAGGAGTTACTCAAGCTTTTAAGAATGTAAGCACAAATATATGTATCTTTAGGTTTAATTTATAGAATTATATTTGATAGGAGCACTTCAATACATAGCTAATTCCTTTGGTTCACAACCAGCAGATGTGACAGGTCTCATATCTTAAATCGATTTCTAATTATTAGGCTTACCAAGGATATTTTATTAACTGATCTGCCCTATCAAATGTATTGACACAGAGCATCATTTTACAGGAAAAATGAACAGTAAAATACCTAAGAAATTCAGTTTTATGATTTTTCAAGATATAAACTCAATAACATTCCTTTGGTCCCAATGCATTGTTGCTAAAAGCTCTTATTGTCCCAAATAAATCATTCTTCAAAGAGTAAAACTAAATCTACATGTGACTTATAATAAACCAAAGAATAAACTGAAAATGTAATTTTGCTCAGATTGATTATTTATATATTTCGCTATAAGAATTGTACCTTACCGAAATTTAAAGTTATATTTGTAAATATTTTGGAGCAGAGGTAGCAAAAGAACATAGCACAAGATAAACAAAGACTTATTTTCAGAAGAAAAAAACAAGATAAACAAAGACTTCATGAAAGGCTCACATAAGATGTAATAGCATGTATGAGAATATAGTGTACATTAAGCAAACAAAGTACTCCAATATAATTGCATATCAAACCGGAAATGGGAGAAACACATTGCTTCGGAAAGCATGACTAATATCATAAATTCTAATCCCTTACTTTGTTGGAGGATTATGGGGATGAAGGCGGAAGTTTAGGACGGAGCCTAAAATCATACGGAGTATAATTTAAAGAATTATAGAAACAACATACCGTACTGCCCTTAGCCCCAGTGACCGTCATAAGAGAGATGCAATTCTTGGGAAATGGTCTCAATAATCCTTTGAGAAGCAAATCTTTGTCCATGTTTTTTGCTTTTTTATTAAGTTGGTTTTTCATCTTCATGTCCAAGGAAGCTATAGCATTTTCTTTATCCATGCAAATTGCCTTTTCAATTTCAAGCTGGAGTTCTCTTGGACCTATAGCAAATCAAACAGATAATAATGTCAAAAAGGAAAACATATAAGAACGGGAAAACTATCAAATAAGCCTCCCAACTTTTTAAAAAAGTCAATTAGATCCCCCAACCGAAAGTCCACTCAATCAAATTCTCAAACGCATTTAAGGGCAAATCCTCTTTTTAGCCTCTGTTTAGCGGTTACTGTGTACATGTGGCGACCAATGTCGCTGTTTTCATTTTTTCTATGTTCTTTTTCTTTTTTTCCTTCTTTTTTCCTTCTCCTCCACCTTTCTCCTTCTACCATCCCATTCCAGCAAACCTCACATTCTCCACCCCTTCTTCCATCTTCTTCCATCCACACTTACTTTTTCCCCTTTCCTCTTTCTTCTCCCACCCACCGGTCATTGGCCAGCGCTCCATTCTGTAAAGTCCAAGATAAACCTGTGTCGCCAGAGATGCTCGAGTACCCATGGCACACTGGACGCCTCTATATCAAAGGTGGGTCATCCCCTTTCCACGAGTCGATGGCATGGAAGTCGGCGACATTGAAGCTTCTGAGTCAGCAACACAAGTCGGTGACAGTGCTCCGTGAGACCTCCAGGCCGGCCACTTCCAGATCTGCAGCTTCAATTCGACTGAAGCCCCTAGTCGGCAGCGGAGAAGAGGGGTAGGCAGAGGAAGGTGATGAGGAGGATGAAGTGAGGCCGGGAACTACAAGTTGAGAATTAGAGAAGGAATAGAATGGGGGAAGAAAGAAAGAAAAGTTGCAGGTGCTGAGGGCCTGAGGCGCAGGGAAGAAGAAAGGGAGCGGGAGTGAAGAATGAAAGAAAAAGGAAAATGCCACATCATACGCCACGCACACAATTTAACCAGAAATGGGGAGGGGTACCTGCTAAAAAGTGGATTTGCCACTTTTAATTGCATTTGAGGGTTTGATTGGGCAAACTTTCAGTTGAGGGGTCTAATTGATTTTTTTGAAAAGTTGGGGGGCTTATAAGAATATAAGAATATAATAATATATTCTTATAGATAAAATGAGGGTAGAAAACAGTTAGAAAAACAACTGACGTGGGGTTTGCAGATTTTTAATCGAAATTTCCACTCTTTTAGTGCATTTGCAAAAAAATCATATAGGGTCGCAAATGCATGGAAACCTTAGCACAGTTGTGAAGTTGTCATGGACTTAATCAGGTATAATTGTAAAACCCTCTTATACAAATATATAATATGGTTGCATACATGATAGTATGACTGTATGATATTTATTACCCACTTAGTTTGACACTGCTTGACTGCCTTAACCCTGCACATGTGAGGAGATTGTTCGCCTAGTTTTTTTAACGGAAATTGCCCTAAATGGGACTAATGAGTTCCTAAAAAGCACAAATAGGACTACTACTTTTTAAATTCCCTAAATAGGACTAAACATTGATTTTCTACCCTAAATACCCCTAAGCGTATTAATTCATAATGAAATGCTTTTGTTCATAATAAAATCATAAAAAACTGTAAAAAATATTTAAAAATCGTAAAAAAATTATTAAAAATTAATAAAATATTTATAAAATAAAAACTAAAAAATTAATAATAAAAAATAGTAAAAACCCATAAACATTTAAAAAAATTATGGATACCTTTCCCACTGCCTCCCGCCGCCTCCCAGCACCACCACCTCCGATTGGTGGAATTTCTTCCACTTTTGGTAAAAAAATGCCATCTTTTTCTGAAATTGCCAAAAAGATTTGCTCTTCAATATGCCAACATTTTCATTGAATATGCCATCATTATTGCATTATTTAAAATGTTGGCATATTTTTCTCCGGTGATGGGAGCTGGTGGTGCTGGGGGTGGCAATGTTTTATTTTAATTTCACGATTTTTTTTTAATTTTTTAATTTTAAAAAAAATTATAAATATTTTATTAATTTTTTATATTTTTACGGTTTTTATTTTTTTCAATTTTTTTTTTATTATTTTATTATTAATTAAAACATTCCACAAGCTACAAGGGTATATTTGTCCAAGCACACATAAATAGTCCTATTAAGGGAATTTAAAAAATGTGGTCCTATTTGTGCAATTTTCCACTTTTTAGTCCTATTTAGGGAATTGACTCTTTTTTTAAAAGAGAAATTTTGCATGCAACAACAATTTCTTTGTTTATTCACTTTAGGCAGTAAGAACTATTTTGGGTATAAATATATACTCCCTCCGTCCCAATTTGTTTTGCAAAATCTCCTTTTTTGACTGTCCCAAAATGAACTTCCAGTTTCCATTTTAAGTATAGAAACATAACTAAAGTGACAAGTTTGCCCTCCTTAACCTTTTAGTCTTCTGCCCCACTCGACTTCCACCCACCTTTTCTTATCACCATCACCCATCACTTCCACTCACCTTCTCTTTCCATATTCCCAATTTCCCATCCGAAGCACAACCACTTCTGTTAATGTAGTCTCACACCTTCTCCATGGCAAGATTACGTTCATCTTCCTTTTAAAGATACAGACGGAGAAAAGAAGGGGGCTCCAGCTTAGGGGAAAAATCAAAGAAGGGGGGTCCAGCTTAGGGGAAAAATCGAAGAAGGGGGCTCCAGCTTAGGGGAAAAATCAACGCCAAATTAAACCTCCCTTACGGTTCTATCGGCTCCGGCTCCGCCTGAAAATCCTAGGATCCGACACGTTTAGTTGACCCAGATGCAAATGAGTAGCCGCGCGCCGTCGCCCTTGAAGAACCTTACAGATGAGTCACTGCTGCCCTCATCGAAGAAATTACTTGTGTCACCGGTCGCACCATTGAAGCAGCGGACAGCGGACAGTCGGTTGGAGTCTTGACGTATATGTCAAAAATGTTGGAGATGCTCTTGAACAAAGATCGGACGCTAACGATCGGTTTTGGCAATTAGCATTCCCTGTTTCACTTTTTTTCCTACTCCGTATACGCCATGTAGAAGAAGCACAGTAGCACATATGGTACTGTCTGACAAAAGTTGTACTCCCTCCGTCCCCTTTTAAATGTTCCGAAAGAGGGTGGCACGAGTTTTAAGAAAAGTGGATTTGTGTGGTTGATATTAATTGATAAAGTAAGAATGATTTTGAGTCACAAAAACTTTACCAAATAAGGTATGAGACAATTAAATATGGACATCCCAATATGATAAAACGGGACATTTAAAAGGGGACAGAGGGAGTAATTGAATTGCTTTAAAAAAATTGTTTTTCCAATTTAAAAAAAGTTGTCTGGCAATAGTTTGTGCTCCAGTCCACACCGGGTGAGGAAGGGCAAAATGGAAAGTAAATGCCAATTTCTATTCTTTCTTAATCCCCGTGCCGGTCAATTTTTGCACCTCAATTCGGGACAGAGGGAGTATGAATTAATGATAAATGAAAGCAAATTATATGCTAATAGAATCTTTTATAAATCTAGGCTTGCCACATAATATATGCACTAAACTAAATCTAAAGTAATACATGCTGCTAAATTATAATTAAAAGGAAATCTTCTCAACTAATAATGTTATACTCCGTAATACCTATCTCTCCAGGTTTGAACTTAACAAAATTAGCATGAACTTCTTCACCAACATCATCCCCTTCAAGTTGTTCTTTCCTTTGAGAGTCATAGTCGGGCAATATTATAAGGTCATCCACTCCGCACGTGAAACCATGAGTCTGGATAACAGAAGTCAAAGCAACCACATATATGATCTGGCAAGATGGAAATGAAAATTTGAAAAGAAAAATTTGAGTCAAAAACAAACCTGCAAGAATATGGTAAATAAACGACTTAGAGCAGAGAGCAAATTCCCTGCAACATTCGACCCATATAGCTCCTGAAAAGTGTGGACCAAACCAAACTTTCCAAACTGTGCCTTGTCAATTACACCACGTACGAGCTCATTTTTCCAAATTATAAACTTACTATCAACAGTATTGTCTTTATCTTTTGAGAAGTATTTCTCTGGAATTTTTCCTTTGCTTCTGATGGTACAAGGTGCAAAACCTCTTGTCAAATGGTTTAAAACTGCAGTAATGACCTAGAATGGGGAAGAATATAAGACTAGAGATATGTCAAAAACAGCAACATTATTCAAAGCACACATATGGATTTCCTTCCTAACCTGCTTTCCGGTCCAAAGAGGCTTCGGTTTCCAGACAGCAGGCAAGATAGGCTGCAGAGAGCTCTCAGAATCTACAGTAGAAACTTTCTGAGAGTGACCACCGGAAAATGACCTATGCCCCCCCATGGACACACCAGAACCATAGAGGAGTTGGTTGAACTCATCAAGAGTTAAAAATGTACTCTTCATTGTAAGAATGACTGCACTTACAATATGATCCTAAACCAATGACCAATAAAATTATATTTAGTGCTGTTGAAGATGATTCTTTAAATTAAAGCAGCGCATGATCAATGATCATGTACCCAATTCTGTAAAAACAGTAAATCAGATTAGAAAACCTGAATCAGGCCTCGAACAGTATCTCCCTTGGTAGGAACGATGTATTGCTCATTAGCATTTACAATGTTATATGCTTCAGCACGGGAAACTTCATCTTGAGGAAAATGGACATTCATTTCATCACCATCAAAATCGGCATTGTAAGAACTGTCTCCACGTTCAACATTAATTAGTTGATGATTAAGTTCCTACGAAATACAAGAAGTTGCTCTGACAAAAAGATGTGTTTGGATCAACCTGCAATTAGCATAATGCATGCGAAGAGTTTTCTCCCCTTTCAGAACACGAACTACGTGTGCCATAATACTGGGCTTGTGAAGTGTTGGCTGCAATTAAGTTTCCAAGTTAGACTTGAACGCACTTTCAAATAAATTAGGCGAGAAAACAAAAATGAAGCAGCCGCAGTTACATATACTAAACTTGGCATAGAACAAACGATTATTTCAATTTATGCACTTAAAATGTTAAAAAAAAGGGAAAAATGTCTCTTTCGCAACATGAAAAACTATTCGTTTCCTAACAAACATGAAACAGATAAATCTGCATCTACTCATTTAGTTGTGACATCAGTTGATTACAGGGCAAATTTTGAGGCGCGCCTCAAGGTGAGGCATACAGAGAAGGTATTGCGGCTAAGGTTTTGTTGCAGATTTGCAGGACCAGTGGCTTACACCTCAAAAGTCCAGCCATACGCCTCGAGGTGAGCCTTAAGGCATTTTTTGGGGCATTTTGGGGAGTTTTTCCTTTATTTCTATCTTTTTTATGTGGTTGTAAGTTTGTAACATACAAAAGGCCAATTATATTTCATTAATAAAAGGCCCATGCATTAAACATGTGTTCACACTAAAGTGACTAAACCCTAATAACTCTTGTTTCATTTAAAATATCCATTTAAACCCAAACGGGTATACACGTATACTTTCCTATTAAGCACTCTCAGTGACTCGGTGTCATTAAAAATATTTCCATACTTCAGTACGTAGAAGTTTTTATACTCTTTCACAAAGAAGACGACAACTTCTTGTGTATGCAAAAAGTTTCCTTTCTTCCAGGTAAGTTCTCTTCTTCGTCACATTCTCTTCTTTTGCTCTTCTTCTTCTTCTTCGTCTTCATCTTCTTCTTCTTCTTTGTCATCTTCTGCTTCATCTTCTTCTTCATCTCCTCTCCTTCACTTCTTCTCCTTCTCTTACTGAGTTGCTGGGCATGTATTCCTAGAACTAGTTAAGGTTTTTTTATAGTGATGATGGAAGGAATGATGGTGATAAGGCTACAAGATATGATGATTTTCAATAGATCATTCTACTCATGATGATTAAGCTTTGATAATTTAAAATTTTCATCTGTGTGATGTGTATATTTGTGTGGTTGAATTCTCATTTTGAATTATCATGTTTGCTGATGTGATCATTTATGTGTTTGTGTTTAACACTTTTTGGACTTATAATTAAGCAGATATTTAGTTGGTTACTACGACTTTAACTATTTTAAGTTTTATTTGTTGGTATACTTTGAGGCTTACGCCTGTATACCCGATACCCGAACTGACCTTTTAAAAATATATGATCCGCAGTATGGCAAGCCTAGCTTATAGACAAAAAATATTAACCGGAAAAAATCTACAATTCTCTGTTCCACTTGACCCATTATGGCAGTAAGAATTTTTCATCAGGATGTGCCACAAGTAGACGTGACAAGTAATTAGCCAACAATCAACATAACGACGATCAGAATAGAATAACGCCAAAAAGAAATGCATAACTATAAGGGATCCAGTGTATCAGAAAAACATGTGTGAAGGGAAAAAAACACTTGATGACAAGTAAGTAGTAAGTACACTGTTAACCACCCTCTCTCAGAGCCTAAAGAAAATAAAGTCCTAGAGGAAAGTGACCGCCTTGCTGTTACAGAGCACGATTAGCAGATTTATAACTATCTTATAAGTTATAACTACCAGTATCATATCGTTCTACCTAAGTCTTTCCTATCATTCTGTATTGGACCCTTTCTAATACATGCCATTTAGTGTTTCAAGCAGAAAGTAGATGGAAAAATACTGAAAGGTGCAAAGCAGACAAGAAATGATATCAAACCTGTCTATTGACAAGCACGACATCCCCATCCTGCAAGTGACGGTAAACAATTTTTCCCTCAAATTCATACTCACTGCTCTTTCCAGGTTGTGTTAACACTCCCCTAGATGAAGGCAATTTCCGAGATACTGCTGCACGCAGCATTCTATTTTGCAGCTTGACTGTGGAAATTCTGTCAGAATATGACACGGCTCCAGGATGGATTTCAGGCCCATTGGTAATAGCATCCCTCAATTTTACAACATTCCAAGGAGTCACTCTCTGATGGAACATCGGCAACATTATAGAAAAGTAATTGCTAAAATAATAAGAGATACTAGTAGAAGATTTTTTTAAAAAAAGTTACTATTGATAACTCAAACTAGCTTCTTTCTCGTGATAACACCATCACTCTATCATTGTTGGTGCAAAAAGTTGTAACTAGAGACTCGTGAATTTCTATAACACAAACCAGGCCTTTATCCTCAAACACAAGGGGAAACAGATTCTGCAAATAGATGCAGAAAACAAGCAAAATGAGCCAACTAGCCTTACCTCTGGGTAGGTCAGGCGCAAAGCAAAATAAGGAGGGACACCAATTTCATTGACTGCCAAATAAGGGTCTGGAGATATAACAGACCGGCACGCAAAATTGACCCTCTTCCCCATCATTTTCTGGCGGAATATACCTTCTTTCTTTTCCAGCAATTGGCATATGCCACTAGTCCCATCTTTTTTACCTGGATCTGCGGCATAAAAGAGTAAGTCTACATAAAAGAGTAGCCAAATACTATGGAGTACAAAATATGTTCATTTGCACTTTCAGATCAATCATCAATGTCACAAATATAAGCAACCCCAAAAGAACTGCCTGCTAGGAAGTAAATAGGGCAATTTACACCTCCAGATAACATGTTGATTACTTAACACAACTATGCAATAAGAAAACGGCTAAGCAGTGTAAATAGTATAGTTAGGGGAACAATGTAAATAGTACTCCTTTCCAGCAATAGATTGGATTTTAAAATTGCATGCACTGAAATTAGCTTGTAATCTTAGGATACAAAAGAAAGTATCTAATTTAAAACAGAATAATTCTAGTTCCAGCCTTCCAGGTGTCATTTTTACACGCAATACTTAACAGTGCATTTTGATACTTAAGAACTGTCAAAATATATGTTACCTAACCAACCCAAGCTAAGTTTCTTAGAAACAACATGCGCATTACTTAATGCAACTATGCAATAAGAAATTAATAACATAGGTAAAAATTATGTTTCCACATTTTTTCCCCATTATTTGCAATGGAGCCAAAGATTCATTATTTTTTGGCTTGAGAATATGATGGAATAAAGCAAAATGGCTCACTAAACTATCTGTGCTTCTTTCTTATGAAGCATCAGTCAGTCCATGCAATTTTGGATGCGATTTTCACTATAGGTCATCCGGAAACAGTCTCTATGTGCTTTAGTGCAGGGGTAAGCCGGCGTACATCCGACCCCCTCTTACCTCACCGTAGGTGGGAGCCTTTGCGGCACTGGGGTAAATGAAAATGAAATGAATGAATCAGACACATTTGTATAGTTATGGCACAATGTAAATATTACTCTTTTCCAGCAATAGAACGGGTTTTTAATTTGCATACACTGCAATAAGCTTGTAATCTTAGACTATGCTAGATACATATGAAAGTATCTAACTTCAAACAGATTATTTCTAGTTTTGTGTCATTTTTAGACAAAATACTCAACAGTGCAATTTGATACTCAAGAACCATCAAAACACAGTTTACCTAAAACACCCAAGCTAAGTTACTCAGAAACAACAGAACATATAATTTCATGAATTACCAGGGACACAAAAAAGAAAGAGAAGATAGGTAACAAATAAATTATCTCTTTCCCAAAATTGCCTTTACAGTTTACACTATTTTATTATTATTAACCCCCTGAGGTTATGCCATAATTATTAATGCAACCTTGCATTTCCAAAAATCAATTAGTTACCCCTTCAGTTTTGATCATTCTCACTATATGCCCCTCTCATGTTAATATTTGTTAAATTAAATTTAATATAATTCTTAAATTTAATGAAAATTGTCTGTGAAATTAATTTTTAAAGTAAAACACAATTTATTATCATAATTATGATTCATTGTTTTTTATCGTTAATTTTTTGCTTAGCTACTCGATCGTGGAATAAATATTGATCAAAGTAGTTAAGGTAGAAGAGTCTCAATTGAGTAATATTCATGGGATACATAAAAGAAATATTGTTTGAAATATGTGTTATCAAAATTATATACACCTCTTCATCATCAATATAAAAGTCTTATTTGTAATTCATCCGGACGAATTAATCTCAATGACACTTCTTTCGTATGTAGCAAAGAACCAAGAAAAAATGAATTTTATCAATCCATGACCTAAAAGATTGATCTAGTATTGATAAGAGGCCTAAAAGACAAAAATGTATCGATATAAGGCCCGAATAAATGAAACCTATCGATCTAAGAACTAAAATATATATCATAGATTTTGTTTTGTTTAATTTTTTTATTAATTCTATTACTAATTTTGATGATTTCTTCTTCAAAAAAAGTTTATTAATTTAATAAGCTTAAATAATATTTAATTTTTTAAAATAAAAAATATAAATTCATAATATTTAATATCTTACTCGTGAGTCTTTTCCCTTAACTACTTTCATTATTCCACGATTGAGTAGCTAAGTATAAAAACAACGGTAATCAACAATGACTTATAATAATGATAATAAATTGTGATTTACTTTAAAATTTGATTTTATAGATAGTTTTTATTGAATTTAAGAGTTATATTAAATTAAATTTAATAAATATTAGCGTGAGGGGGCAAATGGTGAAAATAATCAAAACTTAGGGGGTAACTAATTGATTTTTGAAAATGCAAGGTTGCATTAATAATTATGGTATAACCTCAGGGGGCTAATCATAATTTTCCCTTTTTATTCCTCTTATCCTTTTAGGAAAGAATTGTGTGATTCATATCATTTCTATCCTTAATTCCTTCCTAAATAAATCTCAACCACACAATTCCATTTTCCTAAACAAAATGCCAAAGCAACTCTGTCATGATAACATCGGGACGGAGGGAGTGGCATACAATGTCCTAATACTTTTTCTAGAGTTTGACCTACGTCACATGCAACTTCATTTGCATTCATATGAGAAAATGCTCATTGAATGTCTTCAAGTGCCTACATGTCCTTGCAAAATTTTAATTCATTCTCATCTAATGCAAGATACTGATCTAGAAAGGTAGCTTGTGACCAAATCAAGGTAGTCAAAGTCGTGAGGCACACTCAAGAAGATAGGGTATTTCCGGCACCTGAGGCGTCAGGCGTAAAAAAGCGCTCGGCGCTCCCCTGACCTGTGGGCCAGGCGCATTGCTTAGAAAATATGATGTATATAACATCATATTAAACCAACTACATTAAAAAGTCAGGTTTCTCACAAATAAAGTCATGTTTCACCAAAATAAAGTCATGTTTCACCAAAATAAAGTCACGATTTACAAAAGCAAAACAACCAAATTCAGAATTTATAACTTAAAGTCTTAAACATTAAAACTGAAAATATTAAATAATTAGAAGATAGTATACATACGTATGTCTGAGTTCTGTAGAGTATATAACAAGAAATACATGTTGAAAAAAATAAAGAAAATGGATTGGTAATATGCATATAAATGCTTGAGTTGTATAGAGTGATAGATTATAGAGTCTATAGACTATATAAGAAGAAGGATGCTGAAAAAATTAAAGAAGAAAGAAAGTGACACAATGAAGAGTTTTGCACATGATAGACCATTATACTAGTAAATTACATATGTGTGTGTGTGTTTAAGTTGTATAGAGTATATGAGAAGAAATAGATGCTGAAAAAATAAAAAATAAAAAATGGAACGATGAAAGTTTTTGTTGAGCAGAGCAGAGCAGGTTTATGTTGTGTTGTTTAGCGCAGGTTTATGTTGTTTTGACCTTATCTAGATGGGTTTTATTAAAAATTCAAGCTAATTATTTGACCACACGTCTGAACTGTATCATTAAACTTAGCTGCAGCGCTTCAGCACATTTGCACCTAAGCTGCACCTTATACAATGGGGTGCGGCAGATCGTTCTTCAAGTGCTACGGCTAGTGTGCGCTGCGCCTGGTGCGCTTAAGCGCCCAGGCGCTCGACTTTGACTACACTGGACCAAATAGGAGGTGAATAGTATATGTCAATTCATTGGTGTTTTCGGTCAAACAAAAGACAAGCCCAAGGAAGAATGAAAAAAAAAAACAAATCAAAAAATGGAACACGAGACGAATTCTAGAATCAGTCATGACAAAAGTTGAAGCGGAAATGGGAGATACACTAAAAGATGTCTCAGGAATTTCAAAAGATCTGTACACAAGAAAAACAGCGCCATTGCTAACAAATTAAAAGGCATTGAACTCACTCATTGCAGTTTTGCTATCAAATAGTACGTTTACAGATTGTTGAAGTTCCATCCATCGCCTGATGATCTTAGAGCGTTCAGCAGTGTTAACATGAGCGTTTCTTAATTCTATATTCGACTGCAAAAGCTTGTTTAACAAAACTGTATGTGAATGCTCCATTACCTGAAACGCACCATACATACAACCCAGTTAAAAAAGTAGGGTTCCATACTAATATTCTATTAGTTGCTAGTACAAAGTTTTTCCATATGTATTTACAACTAATCAGAATTCCAAAATTAGAATACAGCCACTACTGCTTGACTGCTTCATATGAAATTAAGGATAGACTGGGGAAGGATTAGCAACCCTCGTGAACATGAAAAAAGTAACTACAAATATCCATTGATGTCTTAGTCAAACACAAAAGACACCATGTCAGTACGATGAATCAGATCAAACACATTTGACTAGGATTTACTTTTGAAGTATGGTACGTTTTAAAGTTTGTGTTGTCACAAGCGTTCTGAGGTGATCTCAAGACTAATGTTCATATAGCCCATAAAGTATATACTCATATACAAATATGTATATGTCTCAGAGAATGGGCACATAAGAAAACAGATATTCGCACAAAACTTCAAAACCAAATACCCAAGATTCTAGACTCTACAGCCATGCGAGGGTTGAGGCATGCAGGGTAGAGAGCACTAGACTAGTATGTATGTTCTTCATGGATATTGTTCATTAGCATGAATCTATGATCAGTAACAAGCCCTACCCTCAAGCATTCAAATAAAAGCTCCTAAGTCCTAACACAATGGGCACAGATTTCTAACCTGATATGATTACTACTTGTGTGAATGCAAAACCATTAGTTAAAATGCATCAATGTTAAGATCAATATGTAGCACACATCGACACGACCATGAGTTGTGGAAAAAACGTCAGTTTTAGAAAATCCACATAGAACTTTGCATTCTTACAGAGTCTCCTCCCTTAGCAGGTGGCCGGAATTTGATAGGTGGGACAAGAATGGCCTCCAAGAAGAACATATAGTAACTTGCTCCCATGCCAGGTTTGTTAAGATTCTGGGACTGAATATCAGAGATGAAGGAGCAGATAGAAGCTTCATTTTCCCACAAGAGACGTAAAATGTCTCTGACCTATCAATAGCCAATAGTAAGATGTTTCTGAGAATATAAGTCAATTCACAATCAGGTGATTGCATTAACATCTTAAAAAAATGCTAGGCAGTTACAACTGAAATGCCATACCTGAGAGGGTAAGAGAGTTCCTGAAAGAATTTGTTTCTGCTTTTCACGGTTTCCATGTGCCGTAGGTTTTCCTATTTCATCAGAAGTTGTCACGAATGAATTGGTTTCAGCTGTCTCAAAGTCATTCGCTACCTCAGGGTTATCTTGTGCTTGAATCGTGCTCCATCTCTCCAACTTATGGCCTCCAATGATATTTTCTCGAAGTGATTTATTTTCTAAACCATCCTACAGATATAATCCAGTTTCCAAAAGTAGCATTAGAAGGGCAGCAGGAATTACAAAATTTCTTGAACAGAATTAGACCTTTGGTGCAAAATAAAGTAAGATAGAGACAACCACATTACTTAGTCCAAAAGATTACAAAATTAGTCTGATAGAGACCCCATAATTTGATGGCAAAGATGGTTTGGATTATTATTGTACTAATCTGCCCTGTTCCTATCATAGTCCAACACTCTGCTATATAAAATAGTACTCCTTGTACATTTACCATATTTACAAACACAAAAGAGCAGCAGAATGATACTGGGATTAAGGCAGAGATGGTGTGGCAGTGGCACCATACAGCAGTAAAGTTATAAGAAGAAGAAGAAGAAGAAGAAGAAGAAGAAAAGAAACGGTTTTCTGCAGGTGAATCCTATCATCATGTGGAATTTCTACCCTTACTTTTGTTTCATTTTCTTAAAAGGATATCTTCTACCGTTCCTTCTGTTACGAACTGTACTAATAGTGTACATCCTCCATTCATGAGAACTGTTCTGTTTCCATCATCACCTTAACCCCAACTATATTGGGGTTGGTCATGTGAAATTTAGAAATTTAGAAATTATAACGTCTAATAATGCAACTAGCATAGTGGCAATGCTTTTACACTAGATGCACCTTTCTTCAGTCGCAATCTTCTAAGAAATTAATTATGAGATGAAATTCAAAAAGCGTCAGCATCATAGGTTTTTATAACTCGAATGAAAAATATCACGGACCAATAATGAATTGAGGTAGTTGCTTTAGTCATGCATCATTACATGATTAATATTTTAAAGTCAAAATGTGTATCATAAAGCACAGCCAATTTTTCATCTTTAATGAACATAAAACAGCTAACATTAGAGTGCCGTAATTCTATTTGAACATTAAATCATGGTTGCCACGGCGGTAAGGCGAGTTGCGGCGCCAGCCGACCACCTAATCACATAGGAGATTAGGTGCTCACCTAGGCAACAATTAGGCGACTAGTCGCACCATATGTAATATTATATATATGAAGTGTGAGTTACTAAGTTACTAAGTGATCATTCAATGACTACGTATATAGTATTATAGTGTACATATACAAACTAATTTATATTAATAGTTTAATACTGTACGATAAATATTAATATATAAATTAAAAATATACCAATATATATTGTAGTGTGTAACTGCTTCTATATTAAATAAACTTGTACTATTAATCAATATAAAAAGTCTAAGACGAAGTCTGATAAGTGAATAAATATGTATACAAATATTAATATATAAATTAAAAATATACCAATATATACTGTAGTGTGTAACTGCTTCTATATTAAATAAATACTACGTATGTGCTATTAATCAGTATAAGAAGTCTAAGACGAAGTCTGATAAGTGAATAAATATGTATAATTAATCAGCATAAGAAGTCTAAGAAGATGTCTGATAAGTGAATAACCCATAAAAACAAAAACATAGAGGCTAAAATATACTGATAAAAGCAGAAGAGCAGGTGCTACAGGTCATCTTTGACCTTGCGAGTTGCGATGCAGGCAGTAGTGACTTGTGATGCTTCAATTTAGAAGTCGACGATTGTCCTTTGAATTTCGAGCTTCAAAGTCGAATGTCCATAGAGTTTGGAGTTTCAGAAATAAAAAGGCTTGGGTTCCTTTATTTATAATTAAATTAGTTACTAAACTTCTAATTTCTAAATCTTGTTTTGGGCTGGGCTTCTAAAAACGAATTTACTGATCTTCCTCAGGCGAATCTATCTCCCCTGTCGACACTTCTCCATTGCCGTAACAACCTTGCATTAACATCGGATTATAGCACTAACTATAGGCATTCTGGATAAAAGATCATTTATAGCTAACTTGGTCAATGTGTAAATATGTTGCCTCTGACCTAATTGAGTAGTTTTGGGCTTCAACGTGCACAGAATGAGTAAATAACCATCCTTCAACACAATTAACAAATATCGTGGATATAGAAACAGACTTAAGGAAATGGAACAATATCTGGATGCAGATTCATTAAGTCAACATGGACAACTGATGGCTAAGTCATACCATACGAAACCATCCAAAAGTTGGTTTACTGATCTTCGGATTTTTTGCTTTGCAAGTGCTGCACTTACGGTCCTTACCAGAAGACTTTGTTTTCAAGAACTTATTTAAAACTGTCATAGCTTCAGTAAACTGAAAATTGTCCCAACATGGCAGCAATTTGATACTGTCAGAATGATCTTGTAAGCCAAAATCATCTGTAAGACCAGACATATGGCTTCCCTCACAGTCAGAAGGATCATGAACAACAAAATCATCTGAAAATTTTTTAGCCCTGTCTTCTGGACTTACTCTCCTGGACCCAATAATATCACCTTTTGATATTAGTCTCAGCTGGGATGCACAGGTCTCAACCTACATTTAAAAAATTAACTGAGACAAAACGAATTTATAAAACAAACAATGAAAGCAGATAGTCTGATGCATTATTTATGAAAAAGATTTACCTCTTCCCTTCCTGAGATAAAATGAAAACAAAACAGGCATGTTTTTTGCAGAAAAATGTTCAGCATATCAAACATCAATGGGTTGTAGACAGGAGAAACAAGATCAATATGCCCACAGTGGCCTGGACAGTGAAATGAGCGCTGACCACATGATTTACACCTACAAGTATAGTGGTTAAAGCTTAAACACCTACGTGAAGGTCATATTGGAAAAGGAAAATTAATGTGACACTTCAACTTCGGGATCCATTTTGAACCAAAAAAACAGACATGTGAACTTCATGTAGGAGCAAAAAATCAAAACTCATGTAATCACAAAGGCTAACAGATTTTTAACATGCAAACGAAAAAGACCAATAGGTCTGACAAAAAAAACATGGTTAGCATTGAGTTTTTATAAACTTGCCTTATCTCCAGCAACAAAATAGACTTTACCAAGGAGATCGATATACAATGTGGTTATACTCATCTCCACCGGAAAATAAACTTACTAACTAGGAATGTTCTAAAAGGCGCTAGGCGCTAGTCGGGCGCCAACCCAGCGCCTAGCGCCTAGGCGGCTAGGCGGACGCCTAGTCGGGGACTAGTTGGAAACATAGAAATCGCATTTTTATCTATACTTTTGCATCGGTATGATAAGTAATGTTGTATTTTTGTGTGTATAAAATACATATATACATATACATTAACAAACATGAATGATATAATTATCACATTTAATCATATGTAGTACTCCGTATATGATAAGTAATCACTTAACTTCATTATGTTATTAATATAAATAATGATAAAATTTAGGTATATATACAAACATATACTCGTATAGTTTTATCTTAATTTACAACTTCATTTCTTTATATTCATGGCTAAAGCTAAGGTACGTATATCGCTTAGAAAATTAAAATTAAAATGTAAAGTAACGTTCAATGAATCTAGACGGCCTAGGCGACGGATTAGGCGCTCTAGGCAGGCAACTAGGCGTCATAGGCGGCGACTAATTCACCAAGTCGGCAAACCAATTAGTCGGAGCGCCTAGACAAAAATCGGGGCGCCCGGCCACCGCCTAGGCGGGGACTAGTCGGACGCCTAGAACGATTTTTAGAACAGATTGATATGTTAAAGGAGCTTTGTTAGGTAATTAACTACTTGTTTTGGAATTGTTAGACAATAATTATCTATATAGTTATTGTACATCTGTGCAAAATGTGTATGAATTTATGTGTGAATATTACAGACTTTTTCATTTAATTAAACCATACCATACTACACAAAATACCATTGTAACAAATATAATAATACACAAATGAGAAGAAAGGGATAGACTCTATAAGCCAACAATTTCAAAGATGTAAGTTTATCATATGTCACCTGCGAGTTGTGTTTATCTTACAATATAATCAGCTCAAATTAACAAATGAGGGTGCACATAGACACATGCATATCCAACCCTCAAATCATATTGTCATTGGATAGCTGACAATGTAGATGAAAGTGAGAAGAGACAGCCTTTTTCAACATATTCAATAGTTCCCATGCAAATACCACGTCCTCAATACACTGTTTTACTTTCCTCCCATTATAATCAAGCATGATAAAAGGTAAAAGTGTTATTATTCAGATTAGCTACTTACGGATTCTTGTCATCAAAGGGGCCCATTGCTGGGTCATATAATCCGCCTGGAGTAGGATTCCCTACCAAATCAATAAGTACTGGATTGGTAATCTTCACCAGGCTTAGCCGCCTTACCTCTTCGGCCGTCATGAAACTAAATTTAACTGCACTAACGGCCTCAGACGCAGCCTGTTCATATAGTTCAAAAGAATTACGAAACAAATACAGTTACATGGAGCCCAAAATTACTTATTCCAGCAAAAGGCAAATTTTCTACATGGCATTCGAGCATCAACGAATCAGATAGTCGCGGGAAAGAGAACAATTTACCTCGGTTACTTGAGACATGTTCCGGACTTTGAGCTGATGAAGTGCTTGAATAGCTATGAAGCAGTGCCTTTCCTACGTAAACTCAAGCCTCAGTCGAACTTCATAAAAGTCCCCTATACATATTGGTTTGGGAGAAGGAAGATGCAGTGCGATACTAGAGAAGGCAGAGAGCAGTCAGGGACGGCGGACGGCCGGATTGCCGGACAGGGACTCACAGGGTCACACCTCTTCGGCTCTTCCTCGATGGCTCAGTCGTACTCCACTCCTTCGCAGACTTCAGTGCCTGAATTCTTCCGCCAAATCGTCGCCTGAGGTTTAGCAGACTGCGGACGATATTTTAAGCTAGCAAATACACAAGAGAAAAGAGAAGGGGCTTGGTACTTGTTCCAAAAAGAAAGGGCTTACTACTTGTTTCAAGGGTTTATGACCTACGGTCCTACATAGACCACATCTTGATTGCTTCATTGGAACGAGTTTTTATTAAAGAAATAATTACATAAATATGATCAAAATAAAGATGATTTACAAAAATATGATTCATTATTAGAGTAGTAATGAAATCATAGTAATTTATGTTCAAGTTTTGAACTTTAGTTACCACAGCACTATGTTGTAGTAATGAATAGTCATATTTATGTAAATAAGTTTTATTTTAGTAATATTCTCGTAAAAAACTCTTTATTAAAAAGGAAAATTTTGAAAAAATATAATCTCATTTTTTTTATCCCGAAAGGCCAACCACCAAAATCAGTGGAGTAAATGCTGGGGGACATTTACCAGTATTTTATTAATAATAGAGCCGAATACATTGGGGGGCTATACCTGACCCAATAAAACAAAACAGATGAAAAGAACATAATCAACCAATATGGTAAAAAAAGAACCAAAAAACTAGAGTCAAATTTTCTATATTCTTTTTTAATTCCTAAAAGTAGGAATACCATTTTGAAATAATTACATGAATATGACCAAAATAAAGATGGTTTACAAAACTATGATTAGTTACTAGAGTAGTAATGAAATCATAGTAATTCATGTTCAATTTTTGAACTTAAGTTACCACAACACCACCTTATAGTAATGAATAGTCATATTTATGTAAATAAGTTTTATTTTAGTAATATTCTTGTAAAAAACCCTACCATTTTTTCTCCAACTCTAATCACACGATAATATCATACGGTAAGGAATAAGGAACGGTAAAGTTTCTAAAATCCACCTTGTCCAAACCAAGATGAGCCAGAGAATGAGCTACTCCATTCATTTCCCTATGTGTTTTATATGAACATCAAGTGTCTGGCAGAGCATCTGAGCTTCATCAATCGTGTTCTGAAGATAAACCGGAGCTGCGGATTTATTCAGAAGAATTTTAGTCACCATTTCTGAATCAGATTCCAACTGAAAATCATGTTGGCCAGACCTAGCACACCATTGAAGAGCTTTGAGAACTGCTTGGATCTCAGCCTGGAGAACCGTTTTTGCCCTAATCGGCGTAGAGAAAGCGGCAATCATTATTCCTCTGTCATCTCAAAGGATTCCGCCTCCAACGCACCTACCATTGTAGAAAGTTGCATCAACTGACATCCTCAACTTAAATGGAAAATTGTTCTTCCAGATAATTGAAAAAACATAATCTCATTAATAATTAAAACATAAAAGAAATAAGATTAATTAATTTATAATAAAATTGTAAAAAAAAAAATATCAAATATAATATAATCCTTATTAAATAAAATAAAAAAATATTAAACTAAAAAAAATTAAAAAATTAAAAAGTAACAAAAATTAAAATACAAAATTAAAAAATTAAAAAAACAAATATGTAGGCGTATGCCACCATCTCAACAACCTCTCAGCACCACCAGCTCCGACCACCAAAAAAATGCCAACATTTTCCTGAAATGCCATCATGATGACAGTTTTTGAGAAATTTTGGTATTTTCAAAGAGTAAAACTGCCATCTTTATGGCATTTTCAAATAAAATGGCAGTTTTTACATAAAATAGCATTTTTTCGCCGATCGGATGTGACATTGTTGGGTGATGACCGAGGCTACGGGAAAGGCCTGCATAATTTTTTATATTTCTTAATGCAGTTTATCTATTTTATTTATTTTTAAAGTTTTTTATTTTTAAAAACAAGATAAATTTTAATATTTTAATATTGCTGGGATGAACTTAGAATATTTTTAAAATTAAAAGACTTGCATAAAGGTATCGTTTCTAGTGAATGAACTTACATTTTTTTAATAGGATCCTGGGTTGGGGATATTAAGGGAACAAAAGTAATGTTTACTCCTATTGAAGGAAGTTTTAAGTTTTACTCATATTTGTGCAATTATGTTTATGTTTGCTCCTATATTGGGCAATTTCTCTATTTGTTATTATTAAAATTTTAAAATTAAGAAAAACTTACATGAAAAATTAGGTGAAATAATCTTCTATTGTAACTTAAGTCAGTTGAGCCAGAAAACTAACATCAACCTAACTTATTTTGATTATTACACAATTCAGGTCTGGTAAAAAAACTACATATTTGTTAATAAAAATTACTGATAAGGTTGGTGAGCTGAAAATATAAGTTACCAGACAAACTCTTTATTATATTTAATCCTAAATAATTATTCAAGTCATCGTTAATTGTTGTAATCAACTTTTTTTTCATGAACCAAAACTTTATTAATCTAACGAATTATTGTGAAGTAAGTGTACAATCGAATCAGGAGCCTGCTCAAAAACAGAACAACAATTAGGGGAAGAACTGTCCGCCTTAGCTAAAGTATGAGCAACACGATTTGCTGATCATTTACAATATAAAATTTTAAATTGACTATGATTATCAAAAATATATCTAATATCATCAATAATAAGTTGTAAATAAGAGGATCATTCTTGCAACTCAACTTGCACGTTGCGATTAAAGCTAAGCCTCCCTGACCATGTAGGCATCTGTCTCCGATCCGTCGGTGACCAACTAGCATCCTTTGCTTCCATACATCCACGAACAAATGCCCCTTTTCATTTCTAGCTACACATCCCCATGGCCTTAAACCCCTATGCTCATCAACCTCCCCCTCATCAATTCTTTTAAAAATCATAACATTAACATATTTTTTACTAGAAACATCTAAACCACTATGTCTTTTACCCAAAATTCTAAACATTAAACTTATTTTTTGAACGGAATTCTAAACGTTAAACTATACACTCCACATACATCATAGGTAATTTATACTATAAAAAATAATAATAAACAAATAAATTAAAAAGATATGCAAAGTGTGAATGCTTTGTAAGAAAAGTGAAAAATGTATTAAAAATGAAATTATAAATAATTAATGTAAAATTATTAAATCCATACAAAGTCTAAATAAATCTATAGAATTTAAAACTACAAAATCCGAAAAAAAAATTTGTAAAAAAAATTTATATAAATATAAATTATAACAGCATTAGACTATTTTAATAACAACAAATGCCGATAATAAAAAGTGAAAGAATGCGAAAAAAATTACATTATTATTATTAAGATAGCCAAACAATTAAGTTACGTATACCTTTTCTAAGAAATGGAAATGTTGGGATGTTATAAATCCTAAAATCTCAATCCACTTTAAAAGGGAATGTGTATAAACTTTTATACATGATGTAAAAAAGCATAGATTTCATAGTTGAGATTGATAAGAGGAGATGGAGTGAATACAATTGAGATTTATATATACATCATACTTAGGTTCCATTTAAAAGTAATTTGTTATTGTGGGTTATAGCTAGTCAAATACGGAGTACTATTTTAGACAAACACGCCTTATAATTAGGATTATATAGGAATAATTGATGGTTTGTGCCTTAAAAGCGAAACGGCTATGTTTGAGATTTATTTTTCTCTAACATTCTTTAAAAATAAACATATTGGATGCACATTTATATGTAAAATATTTTTTTGAGTGATAAACCCATGTTTGATTTTCACATTGCTTATAAAATAGTATTCACATAATATGGTCATATCCATGTAATATCATATATCAAAGAATTGAAACATTTCTAACAATACTCAATACAAAATTGGTGAGAATTTGTGATTCCATGTATGGTACTTCTTATACGCTCCTCTTTGAGTTTTACAATCTACATCTAGTTCTTCACAACCAGGTGAAACCAGACAGAACTATACAAGTAAGATGAGCATCCAAATTGGCCAAATACCACAGAGGCAGAGAGAACCGACAAAGATGCCATTTATTATATTTGATAGCTTTGACGACTTGGTACTTGGGAGTGGGCAAAAACAGGGGAGAGCTAAAGAATAATTGAAGTGTAAGTCGAGTTAGAAATTTGACGAATAACGGTATGCTAGAACAGAAAATGTGATTCCTTTCCAAAAGTTGAAAGGGGATGTTTATAGTGTACAAGTAAATACTATGTGATCAAGTGAAAGTAACTGCTCCACTTGTCTATTGATACGCGTAAGGCTAATTGGAGAGAGAATATGTTATTGATTAGTATAGTTGTACCAACTTTTGTACTCGCGTACTAGAATGGTTGGAGTCATACATGTAAATATGACAGATTGGCTTGTGTAACTGAATTGTGTGACGTCTGCCCTGAGACAGTTGTCATACAGTAACGTAATCCTAACTGTTATCATATCTTGATGCTGAAATGTCTAAGTTCATGACCTCTATCTCAAGTATCAAGATCGATTGTAGAGGTCACGATCTGGTGCGGTGTGTTAGCTGATAGTATCTCGACTCATAACACGAAGCAGAAATGTCTTATTGATCTTTGAGTTTGTAACGTGGTAGTTGGCATGGAACTCGGCCGTTGTGTTGGAATAGTCACTGACCTCGGTGAGGGAGCACCTCGGCCTCGGGTGCAGTTTTGGACTCGACTGAGAATGGGTTTTGAGCTCGACCTTGGCTAGAGTTGCCTTAATGGATTTTGGAATTCCTTTAACATAAATATTTTTTTTATTGTCCTTTTGCATAAATATTGATACCTTTAGAGTATATAACAATATACTCCATCAATATTATTATTTCAAAATGTTCTAAATAGTGGTGACAAGTTTGAATACATGTCATATCAACTAAATGCATTATGTGCTGGAAACAATGGTGCCATGGTAGAGTATGATGTTGAAACAAATGGTAAATGCACTCAGAATTCACACCTTTTAAACCAGGGGAATAGATTAACCATTGCTCTCTTTTGTTAGTTAGTGGGTATGGTGTTATGGTATGGTGTTATGGTAGCGTATAATTTTGTTAGTTAGGTTGTTTTCCTCCAATTTGCAATTGCCAAAATCGTAGGCAAATTATACCGCGGGATCGGCCCACGTGCGCACGGTGTGCCGATCCCAAAGCGACGTCATTTTAACAATTCCAGCCGCAACCGCAATTGTTTTGTGCCACTGCTGATCTCGGAAGTCAGAACGTCGATCATCTTCACCCTCAACCGCAAGGAGCACTGGGGCAGGAAAATCAAAGAGAAATACTATACTATTTCATGCCTCACCCATTTGTACAACCTTCTTTGGTACAACGTCAAGCTTAACCCTATCCTTATTCCAGAACCCTTGTTTTTAAAAGGTTACGCCAACCTTTTTAAAATGGGGTAATTTGAGTTTGCACCCCATATTATTGTCTAAATTGGACTTTGCACCCTGTTTTTAAAAATCTTTGTTTTTGCACCCCAACCCCATATGAAAAGACAAAAATGTCCTCGATCAGGAATATGTTGAAGGCCAACAAAATAGTTAATGGAGGGGCACTTTCGTCTTTTCATATGGGGTTGGGGTGCAAAAACAAAGATTTTAAAAAATGGGGTGCAAAGTCCAATTTAGACAATAAAATGGGGTGCAAACTCAAATTACCCCTTTTAAAATTGAAGCAAATTCTATTGCTTTAATCTAATAGGCTGCTATGAAACAATTCATGTTAATACTTCGTATGAGTTTCTCCATTCAGATTAATACTTCGTATGAATTTCTCCATTCAGATTAATCTAACCGACTTTGATCGATGAGGTTAATCGGTTTTTACGTATAAAATGGAGTTACATCCTTTAATATACCATTTACATCTTAACTTGCATCTTTTTATTCACGAGTTACATTTAGACTTATCTCAACAAGTTACAATTTACATTCACTTAAGTAACATTTTACATCAACGCGAGTTACATTTGTCATTACATGAGTTACATCACAAAAATAAACTCCTACTACAGAAAAAAAATCAATTTGTATGTTCGTGATATTAAAAACAAAACATATTTACTATTTATCTAAAATAATTGAGCAATTAGACTCTTTTTTCATTGTTTACATTGGGAATAATGTTTTGTTTTCATTATTGGACAATTACATTTGGATTCGTCTTCAGTTACATTGCTCATTAACATGAGTTACATTTGTAATAACATGAGTAACATAAAAAAATCAACACGTGATATTGGGACAAAAAAATGATTTTTAAGGGGTAATTTGAGTTTGCATCCCATATTATTGCCCAAATTGGACATTGCACCCCGTTTTTAAAAATATTTGTTTTTGCACCCCAATCCCTTATGAAAAGACAAAAATGCCCCTCGATCAGTAAAATGTTGAAGGCCAACAAAATTGTTAATGGAGGGACTTTTTGTCTTTTCATATAGGGTTAGGGTGCAAAAACAAAGGTTTTTAAAAACGGGATGCAAAGTCCAATTTGAACAAAGACCTTCTTTTAATCATTTTTATGGTCATGATACTAAAAATAAAACATATTCACGATTTACCTAAAGCAATTGTGCAATTTGACTCTTTTTTCATTATTTACATTGAAATCAATATTTTATTTCTTATATTATGCATTTGACAAGTTACATTTCGAATGGACTTGAGTTACATTGATCAATAACGTGAGTTACATTTCTTTACACGCGAGTTACATCATTATGCTCCTGGACAATGAGAAAACAAAAAAAAAAAGTTAATGTTCACGCGTGTGAATAGTAACATGCGATTTTTTCAAATGGGAGCAGCATGCTCACGGTGGGCTGCTCCCACGGTATAACAACTGGAAATTGTAGGTTTTGGTTTAATTTGAAAATGATGAAAATGTACTATGATTTCAGAGAAAATTTGGTTATCGCTTTTTTGCATATATGAAAAGGAGGAAATGTAATTGGATTGCTACTTTTTTGTTTGAATATACAGAAGTGTTACATTAGATATCACTAAGAGCCCGCTTAGTAATAACCAAATCGACTGCATTGGTTGATTGTGTTGATACTTATGAAGTTTAGGCCGAAGTGAGTTGATTGGTTGATTATGCTGATTTATGGGGGGGAAATTAAAATATATTTTGTTAATAATATTAAGAAAAATTTATATGAAAACAACTAAAATGATCATCTACAGTAACTTCAGCCAATATGACTGGAAAAATAATTTCAACGTTATTTTTTCTTATTATTACACAATTCAGCACGTGAAATAAAAAGTTATCTATTTGGTGAAAAAGTTGAGTGATAAGCCAAAAAACATGGTCACCAAACGGGCTCTAAATGTAACAATTACTATGACATCTGTAAAATGTATCTAAAATGTTACGTTGTGCTCAATCGTAATATAACTATTGCGAAACAAATGAAATGACATACTATAAATTGTTACAATATACCCGTTTTTGCAACACTTTAATTAAATGTTACAATTTTATCGTTATTAAACCCCAAAACTAGTATCTCACCCATGCGATGCAGGGGGGATATTCACGGGGATATTTTGTTCCAAAATTACGTCAAAATAGCGATATTAATACTATAGAAAAGAATTAACACCAGTATGTGATGTCACAAAAATGTTGTATACACATTGTAGTAACAACAGAGTACACGTAATAAATTGTGATCAAATAACATTTAATCTATAAAATGCTGAAATGTGTTTTAACATAGAGAATACTACGTATCACATTACAAATTTTGAAAGACTTCTTTATACACAACATTAGTGGTCTCATTTGTGCTATTGTTTTCACCATCTAGAATCAAAAATTTCAACCCTTTGTGGTTTGTAACTTTAGAAATTGCAACATACAACTGATCATGACAAAACACAGGTTTCTTCAACAATAAACCAACATGCGAAAGGGATTGACCCTGACTTTTATTTATAGGCATCGCATAAGCAACCATTATCGGAAATTGTCTTCTTTGAAACTTAAATGGAAGCCTGACATCTGAAGGAGTGAGAGACAATCTTGGAATAAGCACTTCTTGGCCCATACTTCATCCAGTTAGAACTTTTGCTCCTAATATATATGGTCTCCAAGCCTTGTTATTATGAGCCTTGTTCCATTGCACAATCCCATTGAATGATCAATGTTACGTAAAAGCATTACGGGAATTCCCACTTTCAATGTGAGTTCATGATTAGACACACCTGAGATACGAATTTTATTTAAGAACTCAGGTGTATGCAAGTCCGCTAAGAGATTCACATTAGAGTCTGACTTGCACACACTATCCGCACTTAAATATGTTCTTGAAGGTTGAGAAGTGTTGAGTGAAATCATATAATCATTAATTTCATCTACAACACTTAAAGTAGGAGCTAATATAGCTCTATCTCTAAAATAGCTGAAGTCATCAGATATATGCGGGTATTGTGGATATGTGCTCTGAACAATAGTCGCTATAGGATCACCCGAAGAATGTGGAAGCAAATCTTCTGGAATTTTAATTGAAGCACATCCATCATTTGCTTCACCAGCTACACCATCACCCGTTGTAGCAATCCATTCAAAAAAACTTTTGATCGCTTCACAATCATGCACATTGTTTGGATCTTGCAACCGCATGTTCTTCGTCAATCTTAAAACTTGACAGTTTTGCCACAAATATGAAGAGTTTATCGTGGCATTAACAATATCTTGTCAGCTACCTTGAGGAATCACTTGTAACACCTGACGAAAGTCTCCTCCGAATACAACTGTTTTTCCCCAAAAGGCTCATAAGGACCATTTGGATCAGAGAATCGCATAATATCTCTCATGCTTCTATCCAGAGCTTTAAAGCAATACTTATGGAGCATTGAGGCTTCATCCCAAACAATAAGTTTAGATTTCACAATAAGTTGTGCAAGTGGACTACCTTGTTTTATGTTACACGTAGAATCCTCATCCAAAACAATCCTACCCTTTTCCAGGTGTAGGGAAAATAAGTTCATCCAAAACAACGTCTATTGGCATTTTTTTCTAGTCATTTCTTTTCTTGTTTAATGCTTGTCTTCAGTTTCTTGGAAGATTCTGTAGATGAAAACTCCCCCAACAAAGCACGCTTAACACTTTCATTTTCATTAACATCGATCATCAACGGACTACGTGCTTCTGCATTTGAAGACCCAACCTGCCAATCCATTATAATCAACGTATTATTGTTTTAAACAACTGATTAGTTCGTCCTAAAAATAATAACAACAATAGTGTAAAATTCATAAGTTGTTTTACCTTCTCACAATCCATCTCTCGCCTTAGTATAGTAAACTCATCATCAACCTACCACAAAGTATAAAGGAACATTTTTCTCACATTCTCACATACTTAAAAGGTATACTGTAAAGATGCTATTGCAACGTAAAAGAATACCTCAATTCCCACTGCCTTGGGAGAAGAATATAGAGAAATAACCTTTGCATCATCCATCACATCAATAACACTAAATGTTCTTGCTCCCTTGAAGCCAATTTCCTCTTTCTTGATACGCACCTTAAACAACATCTGAGAATCGACTAATCCTTCTATCTCAGTTGGGAAATTATCTGGACCAAAACTTTTCTGAAATGATATAAATGAGTTTAGTTTTCACTTCAATTATTCATCTTAGTACATTATAATTTAGGACATTATAATTATAATAATAGATAATATTTACCCTCCCAATTTCATCTTGTAGTGCATTAGCTATTTTCCCAATCAAATTAGTACACTCCTTATCCCATAGCACAAACGTGGCGTTGCCCATGTGATCTAAGACCCAAATATTAACCTTATACTTGCACATGTTATTCCACACTTAATATTAAATATTTAATATTTAGAAAACACAAAACGATACACATTTATTCAAAAAAAAATACGAAGTATAACATATATAAGTACAACTTCTTTACACGGGCAATTCACACACTGAAAGGAGTTTCCAAATGGTAACGCTTTGCGGTTGCAACTCTTGCATGAAACATAACACCAATCTTTGTAGCTATCTATAGCAATAATCTCAGCTAAAATCCAGTGCCGACCATCCTAAGAAAATTTATTAAAAGGGTTACTTTTATGTGAATTCCAAAATGAATTGCGTTATAAACTTGTACTAATACCTCTTTAATGTGGAACAAATCTTGAATTGTGGTTAATTCAAGATTTCCTGAAGTTATGTCATCATTGTAATTTGTTTGAGATGTCATTGACAAAGCAAGGTTGAAATCACCACTAAATGGTAACCTGTCAAAAGAAAAAATTGTTTATTAAAGTACTTTAGATCGAAAAAGGGAAAAAGTTCAAAACTGATGTGGAAAAAACGAAGTTTAGACATACCTCGATCTCAAATCACGGAACTCTTCACCCTCACCATTTAAGATCAATTTTGTAACATTGTGCACATTTGACACATATACATTACATGAGTACAGACATAAATTCACTTTGTTTAACAAAATACCAGCTATAGTAGTTACTAACAATTCTCTACATGACAGCTCTCCAAAGTAATAGACAAATATCATAAACTCACCATCATATTTATGGGCCCGACATCGCTAAAGAAGTAAAATGGTGGAATCATATTTACTGTTGGAATATGAGTTAAACTCATCTATCATACTTTCCCAGAGAGAGCAAATGATTGATTTTCCTCTGAAACAACAAATCATATGAATTGAGAAAAACCATCACAATGACACATTAAGACAGTTCATTAAACAATAAGTTGCCTGTTTGTATTAATAGTTAAATAAAAATCATACATCAACACTTGGTGCTAGTACTACTTACTCAGCATCACTCAATACTATTTCCCTCAACCTCTTTTCACCGTTCTCTTTTTTAATAACCTTCTCTTGTCTTGGATACTCAACCTTTCCGATGATGTCTGTGACAAAAGTTATATATTGGTCAGATTTAATATTTAAACAAACTATACAACCTGTGAAAGTACAGAAACACATACCCACGACTATTTTTTCATCAATATGTTCTTGAGCTTGCAGAGCAAAAAATGAAATGAAGTCAAATTGTTTCAACGGGAATTCAGGCTTAGACTCAAATGCCTCTGTTTTTTTCATAAATTCCCATATGAAACCATTTTCAGTAGTACGGAATTTCATCTTATTATCATGCACCATGAAATTTTTTATGGCATAGGGGTTGCCTTCCTGGAATAGGTGTTCAAACTTAGCCATATAATTTTTCTTGATGTGGGCATGAACCTTGGTACTCTGTAATCAATAAAAATTACTGTAAATTATTATCAATCAAATAATCTAATATGCTTTATAATAATTTAGAGTATTTACCTCTTGATCATGAAAGATACAGTCAAGGAACGGTTGGAATCTATCACGGGCAGGAACACAATAAACACGAATTGCACGCACCTTTACAGCCCAGGTGCATTTGGACTTGTCAATATCCTTTATCATACTCCACATACTCATCTTTATTTTTGGTCTTCACTATGCAGTAATAACTCTCGAAGGCACATACTAACTCAAGCAAGTAGCGACATCTCTTGTGTGTATATATAGGGGAGCATGCAAATGCATACGGCTGATAGACATTGTAATTACTGATGGGACACTTCAATTGATACGGCTGACTATTCAACTTCCCATATGTAAAATTTGGTTATTCTTTATGTTAGAACTAGTTATTACACGCGCGTTGCGCGATAGGTTTAGTGCCCAATGTGATTTTTTCAAAATATAAATATTGTTTATATTATTTATAAGTTCCCCACGCCTTATAAGTTCCCCACACCATAAACATAGGCTCTAGAGACACTTGCTTTGAAAAATATAATCACTTCACAAGAATCATATATTTGTACATGTGACTCTGTGAGAAACAAATGTGAGTTAGTCTTAGTGAAGTTGCTTGGCATAAAATCAAATGCCAACCACCAACCTTTTGTGAACCAAGTTATCATAGCAACTGCAGTGTTCTAATCAAGTTATCATAACAACTGCAGTGTTCTAACCAAAATAGATACCCAGACCTACAAGTAATCAAAAGCTGGATGTCATTATTTCATCGGTGTGGCGTATCCATTCTTCCATTTTGGAAATTATTCATCGATAGTAGTAACTATAAAGTCCATAAAACCAAGAACATCAAGGAAGATATATGTTTCAATTCATAACCCCATTTAGAGTTGACATATATGCATAAAAGGCTGAAACTCAATTTCCTGGCATCATTATTATGTTTCAAAGACAGTTTAAAGCATACTAACCAGTGTTTTTTAGGCAAAATAAGAAATGATTAAAGAATTCCCTAACCCAAGTGATATTCATTTTACTTTGTTATACAATTAAGGATGGTTAATAATGAGCATTGACAGACCGCAAAAAAAGAGCATTGACAGATAAACGAATAGTATACTTTTAGAGTTTATATATTATAAAAGCATTTTTATTTCCTCACAACTGAACTTTTAAGAATGTTTTTGAACTCAATTGAGTTTAACTTGTAATTTCATTTGTTCTTTAATTTTCCTTAGCATTTATACACTGATTGAATTGCTTATTTTCCCAAAAATACATAATATAATAAACATGGCTTTGATCAGATTTAGATTGAAATAACCACAAAAGGGATGCAAAATCATTAAAGGATGACTAATTAAAGGAAACTATCATTTGCTAGTTATTTTGAGTGAGAAGTGGTACGTGGTTACAACTTACAAGAGAAAAATACCCCCACCACAAAAGAATGTGATTTACACATTCTCGTATTTGATGTGTTCATGTGTCAATTGCAAAGTTACAACTCTCTCTTTGTTTACAGATAAGAATGCAGAATTATAAGTTAATCCAACAAATGCAGTATTTGTTATCTTACACAGTTACAGATAACAAATAGTAGACATTATGAAGCTTTATGTTGTTTATGATGCAAGATCATCAAGTGAAAACCTTAGACTTCATTGATCATGAGTTATATATATATATATATATATATATATATATATATATATATATATATATATATATATATATATCATTGTTTAAGTGTGTATTGGATTCTGCATGTCTCCCTTGATGAGTGTTTTCCTAGACAAGAACATAAAGGCAAAATTCATATAAAGGAGCATACCTAACCAGGTATAGTCATGAAAATCCTCAGTTCTGGATGCAAAGAATCAAATTGAGTACAATACATATAAGCAGAAACCATGTTTAGTCACTGACTTTTCTGTTTTTTGTTGATAAGTAAAAACAGATCCATTAATAGAGGCAATAAACTCAAGGTACATTAGCAGTTTTTAAACTGAAGCAATAAATAGAGGCAAGGTCCCAAGGATGCAGGAACCATTTTTATTTAGTAGTGTAATATAAACAAAAAAAACCTATTTCCCAAACATATCCTGCACTATCTCTTATCATCAGTTTAAACACGAGACTATGGTAGCAGCACACATCAAAACGGGTGTGGTATCATATTCAAAAGGCTTTCAAATTATATTCATCTTTTTAATGAAGTGTATATCGAACACATGTAGATTTAATAAAACACATGGTTGGTTAACATCTTTTGCAATAAGATAGGAACTTATTTGTTATCATGGAGTGTTAGCTTTTTTATGTGTGCACTTAACCTATAAAGTATATCGAAGCCATTATAGTTATACATGAATTACTTTTACAAGTCACTATAGTTATTGATGAATTATTAGTTTTATAAGTACCATTAAACTATATAGAGGTGACTATTCAACACACTCACCGACAGACTAATTTGACCGCCCAGTACTTATCCACTACTTTTCCGGATAGTTCAGATTCTCAACTACTTTCCTATTTTAATATTAATGAGGTTCACCATTTAGTCAAAAAATCTCTTATTTCAGACTCTTTGGGTCTTCCCTCTTTTCACTTTAGCTATTCTTATTTTCCTATTTTCATATTAATAGGAAAATCTCTTATTTTCCTATTTTCATATTAATAAGGTTTGGCCCCCAGTTGTACTTGTTTGCTGTTTTTAAATCCATTTTGTTTTAAAAAAATACCATTGACCTATATTATAGAAGCCGCTATAATTATAGATGAAGTAGTTTTACTGTTTTAGAAACCACTATAGTGTAGGGCAAAAAAACCAAGAGTGCAATTCTACCCCTTTTAAATTTCAGATTTGAGGAAGTAAGTAATGCTTCTCTAGTTCTTTATGTATAACAGAGAACTTGTTATAGCAAGGAGTTATTTTTACACACATTAGAAAGCAGCTAACTTGTTCCAGGTTTTAGAATACACCCAGACCTCCTAGTACCGTGTAGGGGTGCAAACGAGCCGAGCCGAGCCCGATTTTCTACAGGCTCGAGCTCGAGCTCGAAATATATAGCATCGGCTCGGGCTCGGCTCGAACGAGCCTACAAAATCGCGGCTCGAACTCGACTCGCAGAAGGCTCGGTTCGACTCGGCTCGGCTCGAGGCTCGATAACCATTATGATGCTCCATAATGAGTCCGTAGTAAAAATTCACTGTCATCGGTCCATTCTAAGTTTTTCTACTGAGTAGTAACGACCTAAGCCTAAAATATTATAAAATTTTACTAATCAGCATATATTATATACTCGTATATCATATATATTACTCCGTACATTATAACAGTATACATTATATATTAATTTATATTGCACAGTAATATATTATATGTGATTATATAATATAATATATATATATATATATATATATTATAAATATTCACATATAAAATTAGGCTCGCGAGCCAGCGAGCCTGAAATTAGAAGGCTCGAGCTCGGGCTCGACTGCTTAACGAGCCGGCTCGAGCCGAGCCGAGCTCGAATTTGACCGATCCCGATTCGAGCTTTGACCGAGCGGCTCGCGAGCGGCTCACGAGTGGCTCGGCTCATTTGCACCCCTAGTACTATGTAATTGCCTTAATGCATTATTGCCAACACTTCTAACTTGGAAAGGAGAGCAATTTTGGATTTTTCACAGGTAACTTCTTTTTCACAACAAAATAGCAGATTGATTTGTTTAGTTTGAATGAGTCAAAACGAATGATATGATTTAGCGTGGTCCAAATTCCAATCATTTCTGGCTAACCTCAAATTCCAAGTTTCTCCCATGTTTTAATTTTTACAATTGGATTGAATTCATTTCATTGAACTTTACCAGTAAGTGCTACTACTCTAGCCTTAATCTTCTAAATTATTCAGCAATAGTTTTTCAAACTATTTACTCTAGCTTTGAGTTTCTCCAAAATTACTGTTAGATAGAAAATTAACCATAAAGTAGTAACTACATACTCCATAAAATTAAACCAAGAACATTAAGGAAGTACTTATACTTCGGATTATATAGGAAGTACAAAAATATTTTTAAAAACTCATTCAGGCATATACACAAACACTTAGCATGCTTCAGAGAGCTTTACTTTTCTCTACCAAATTAAGATCATATTGGCACACTCAAATATCACAACAAGCTTTAGTCAAGATAGTTCATAATCACAAGCACACTTAAACAACAAAAAATTTATATTCCCTTAAATCTGACCTCGTTCAATGATGTTTATAATTGTTTGAAATTACGGGTGAAGCTTTTCTTGCATTTGCTGTGAGACCTGGGAACCATCAATGCATCTTGGTTCAATCGCTAGAATAATCTTTGTCAGAGCATAGGCCCCAAAATGTGAAAAAGTGAAGGTATTGCCAATCTCAGGAAGACATGAAGCCAAATCATGGAGCTATTTTTACCTCCATTCTTCTTTCTTACTTCTTCCGTCAAGCTTGTCTCCAGGAACCCGAATTCTCCTGAAACTGCCTATAAGAGTAGCATAGCTCATCTACGGAAATGACGCGAATTAGGGTATCATTGAGCATGCGAATGGATAGACACCTAGGAGTAACGGGAAGATGACGATAATCTGAGGGCATTAGTTAGTTGTACAAATATGAAATAATAATGTACAAACACTTAGAGCAAATGTACAAACACTTAGAGCAATGTGTTACACCAACACTTTTTTAATTCCCACAAGGACATAACCCTCATTGAGGCTTATAAGTTTTTAGAAAAGTGCCTCTAGCAAAGGTTGTTATCATGTTATCTTAATTATACAGTGAAGATGTTAAGATATTCTGTATGGCCCTTCTCGATAAGGCATCACATTGGGCAGGCACATATTATCATTATTGTTGATAGTTGCCTGGCTGTCTATTCCACTTCCCCAATGAAAATTGATTATTGATTACTCTTTTGATTAGGACGATTCCATCTAACAAATGCAGTTGGGATTTCACTACATGGCCGAGTGTTTTGGCGGTATCTTCCCCTGGAAGATTTCTTTTGTTATTATATTTATATAGATAGATATAGATGTGTAGTAGTGATGTAGAAGTTCAAACATTAACACAGAATTATGTAAATGCGAAAGTTGTGAGAATAGTTGTTGAGAAACTATTCAAAAGAATGCGTCTTTAATTGTAGTGTCACATCTGATGATGGCACGCATTTTGATTGGAAGCGGAAAAAGCCAATTTACTACAATTATGTCCTACTTGTAAAAAATAAATGTGTAGTTTTACTCGCTTTTTTTCTCCAAAAGTGAAAGTTAGTGATTTTACTTCGCAAAAAGGCATATATGAGCTTAGCTAATAATTTATAAGCAACATATATTGCATGTTTCTAAAAGAGATTTCTAAATGGCACTCATTTTAAGAAAATATGATTATTATTTCTTAAAATGCCTTTTCACTAAGGCTAAAAATTTATGTAGAATAACTAATTGTGTTTGTCACGTTTTTTAGTGTATAAACCCTATAAAATCACTAACTTTCACGTTTTTTATGTGTATTTCAGTATAAACCCTATAAATATACATTACAAATGGAATATTCTTGTATAAGATTCTATACAATAATATCCTAAAGTATATTTCTGACATATTCTAATATCGTCACACTCCCCCTCAAGTTGAAGCACAAATATTCATCATACCCAATTTGTTACTTGTTGCATAAATAACCAACTTGAATCTCATTTGGTGCTTTAATTTATAAATTTCCAAGTTATTACACATATATAATAAGAAGAATCTAAAATCTTATAAATGTCAATGAGGGTTAGCGCATTTTAGGGAGAGAAAAAATGTTGGTGTAATCACTTGCTTAATTTAGAGCATCTTTAATGGGCATATGGATTGCACCCTTTAAAAAATGGACATGTCACTCAAATATGAACTTTTAAAATAATTTTTGGACTTAAATGGATTTGAAGAATCGGTTGCCTATTCATACGGCCACATCATATAACTAAAAAACAGCCGCATGTAAACACATATCGGCGTATCTCATACGGAGTAATTCTTCTTCTACCTTTCTTTCCCTGTTTGTTGCCTATCGTTGAAGAAAACGAAGACGAGCAACATGTTCCAATTTTTCTTCCAGCTTTCTTTTTCAATGACGAAAAAACAGATCGTGTAATTTTATCTACCTAAAACTAGCCGCAGGCCAGCTCTTTACTCTCAACTTTGTATATTTTTCGTTATATATGTATATATGTGTGTATATATTGCGTTTGCTGGACTTTTTTTTTATTGTAGCGTTTGATGGACTTTGAATATAATATTTTAAATAAAATCACAAGTGGATTGTTGAATATGCTTAGTGGGTTTGATATAAAACTCTTAATTCTGTGTTTTTTATTCGACTCGCCAGTAGAGATGCAGCTTCTTGAATCTGATGTACAAACTTTAGGGCATGGTAAATTTGCACCTCAGACCCTGCCATTGCTTCATTCACTTCAGTAATAATGAGTTGAAAGACAACCAATAGAACAATATATGTGTGTGTCTGCCCTGCACGTTTATACTTAATATAGAAGTGGATGTAAATGATTTCTATTGATTATCTATATATACAAGTCCTAAGCATACTCAAGTGATTGCCTAAAAAAACCGTGTAGTTCTTAGGAGATTAAAATAGTATTAATTTGAAGCACCATTTATCATATAATATTAAGGAATATTCTTATAAATTGCAGGTGATACGATATAATAATGTCTTCTTCAGAGTCAGACGTTGATAGTGATAGTTCATCATCTGACGGTGATGCGTTGTCATTGACGAATAAACTATTTGATGAATCATCAAAAGAAGATGATAGTAGTTTAAAAATTACTCATGATTTGATTCTTTCCACTACCACTCATGCTTCTATAATAGTTTCAGCATTATTAAGAGACAAACAGTGTGCCAATGGAGGAAGAACAAGTAGCAGACGTTATATTCATCGCGATAGAAAGGAGCATCATGAGGTGATTATTAAAGACTATTTTAGTGGGGATCAATCAAAGTATACTGCAGACCATTTTCGCAGAAGATTCCGAATGGATGTGGAACTATTTAGTCGCATTTTGGTTGCAATTGAAAAGAATGATAGTTACTTCCCCATAAAGTTTGATGCCACGAGAAAAGAAGGATTAAGTCCTTTACAGAAAACATAGATGCAGTGCAGATGCTTGCTTATGGTTGCCCAGCTTATCTTTTGGATGAATATGTTCAAATTGGGGAGAGCACTGCAATTCAAAGCCTTAAGCATTTTTGTGGTGCTGTGATAAGTGTTTTTGAACAAGAGTATTTGAGAAAGCCAAACAAAAAAGATACTTTGGGTCTTCTTCAAGAAGCAGAAGAAAGAGGTTTTCCTGATATGTTAGGGAGTCTTGATTATATGCATTGACATTGGAAGAATTGTCCAACTGTTTTGCATGGTACACATACAAATGGTTTTAAACGAGTCCCAACTCTCATATTAGAGATTGTTGCTTCAAGGAATTTGTGGATTTGACATGCATTCTTTGGTATGGCTGGTACTAATAATGACATAACCATATTAGACAGATCTCCACTATTTGATGATATTATAAATGGTGTTACACCACCATGTAACTATGTAGTGCAAGGTCATCGTTATGATATGGGGTATTATCTGACTGGTGGAACTTATCCACAATATGCTACATTAATGCAGTCTATCTCGTAGCCATCTTCTCTTAAAGAGAAAATATTTTCTCAGCGCCAAGAATCTATAAGGAAGGATGTGGAGTGTGCTTTTGGAGTTTTGCAAAGTAGATGGCATATTATTAAAGGTCCCGCACACATGTGGAAAGAAAAAGATTTGAAGAAGATAATGAAAACTTGTATCATCTTGCATAATATGATCATTGAGAGTGAATGTAGCCAAGGAATGAATCCTGAAAATTGGCAACCTCTTGGAGATGAAAGGATTGAAAATGTGGAATTAGAGCGTGATTATAATTTTATTGTTTCTAGAATGATTGGAAGAATGAAACAAGTTCAAGACAAGAGAGTTCATAGAGATTTGAAAAATGATTTCATCAATCATATATGGGAGCTATATGGTGGTCAACAAGCAAGCTGATATTAAAGTAGATTTTTTAATAAGAATGTCTTATAGTCATTGACGTTTTTTTCCAAGGATGTTCTACTTTTAATTATTATTCTCAAGATTGTATCTTTTTTATAGAATTATTTGTTTTTTGAGTTGATTTTTACACTATAAGTTAGTTAGTTGAGTATTTGTATTTGTATTGTTTTTTAATTGGTTAATTTGAATTGTGGATTATTTAGATTTCTGCTAAGTGATACTGGTGGAATTGTGCATATAGGATAATTGAGTGCTTCTATGCTCCTATCATCCGTTCCAAATTATTAAATAAAAGAAGAGTTCTGCTAACATATTCATAGCGGATTTCTGCTAATAGTTGTGTGTCAAGATGACAAGATTTATTAAATAAAAGAAGAGTTCCTTCAGATCACTATTTTGAATGCTTGGATGTTCAATACACTATAGACAGTAGCCAGGGAGTAAAAACCATATGGTATAAATAGAGTTCTCTGTGTCCAACTCCCATCAATATTAGAAAACACTACAAGAAAAGTGCACATAGACCGCACATAGACCAATTTTTTTTTGCAATGGCCGTATAACTGTCGTTAAAAACACTATTAACCACACATTTTTTTATTTACCACATACAAAACTGTGGTAAAAGGTCAGAGACGACAGTTTTTAACCGTGGCCAATGTTTTTACCACGGCTATTGTGGCGACGCACGTAAAACTGACGCAAAACTGTCGTAAATGTTCCTCCTTATGTTTTAACGACAGTTTTGCGACAGTTTTAGGTGCGTCGGCACAACAGCCGTGGTAAAAACATTGGCCACGGTTAAAAACTGTCATCTCTAAGCTTTTACCACATTTTTGTGTGTGGTAAATAAAAAAATGTGTGGTTAATGGTGTTTTTAACGACAGTTATGCTGCCATCGCAAAAAAAATGTGGTCCATGTGCAGTCTATGTGCACTTTTTTTTGTAGTGAAAGTATTGTTTTTTGCTTATAAAAGATGGAGGGCATTAAATTCAATCAGGGCTCAATTTGACACTTTTACTGTAATCCAAAAAAGCAAATGGACATAAAAATTCAAAGTGTTACTGCAGTCAGTCCAAAGCAAAAATTTGACACTGATGCAACATATATATGTTCTTAGAAAAGTATACTATTTATGTATAATAATCCATTTACTAAAAGGTTTTCTGTTCGAAGTAGTATATGGAACGTATGGCATAAAATCCGAGCTGTCTTTATTCATGTGCTAAGCCAAAGATATATACACGTACAAGAAGAATAATGAGCCCTTGGCCCACCATGACTAAACTAATACGGAGTATACAATTAATGAATTATACAAATAATAATAGGCCCATAACACCCCCCCTCAAGTTGGAGCATGGGGGTTAAAAATGCCCAACTTGCTAAGAAGAAATAGAAATTGCCGTTGTCCAAGAGCCTTAGTGAAAATATCTGCCAATTGATTATTTGTAGAGACATGACACGGGGTAAGAAGATTATCCTGAATAGCGTCCCGTACATAGTGACAATCCACCTCAATGTGCTTTGTACGTTCGTGAAAGACAGGATTCTGGGCGATATGAAGAGCGGAGCGACTGTCACAAAATAAAGACATAGGCTGAGAGTGAGCTATGCCGAGAGATAGTAGAAGCCCCGTTAGCCACTTCAGCTCTGCAGTGACTGCGGCCATAGCCCGGTATTCGGCCTCCGTTGAGGAACGGGATACAGTATGTTGCTTCTTAGTCTTCCAAGAAACAGGAGAACCACCCAGAAAAATCAACCAACCAGTGAGAGAGCGACGAGTGAGTGGGCAACTCGCCCAATCCGAGTCACACCAGGCCGAGAGGTGGAAATCTGAGGAGGACGAAAGAAGAATCCCTTGACCAGGTGCGCCCTTAATATAACGAACAACCCGTAAAGCAGCATGCCAATGATCCTGACGTGGGGCCTGCATAAACTGAGATAAAATATGAACAGCATAGGCTAAATCTGGTCTGGTAAAGGATAAATAGAGAAGGCGTCCCACAAGACGTCGGTATGATTCGGGATCCGAGAGTAAATCCCCCGTAGCAAGTGCCAAAGAATGATTCTGTTCCATAGGAGAAGGAGAAGGTTTAGCACCAAGTAGACCAGCTTCTGAAATAATATCCAAAGCATATTTTCGTTGACAGAGAAACAATCCCTCAGTACTTCGAGCTACCTCGACACCCAGAAAATATTTGAGAGGTCCCAAATCTTTCATATGAAAACAATTATGCAGATATTGCTTGAAACGAGATAAAGCAAGAGAATCATTGCCAGCAATAATAAGATCATCAACATAAACAAGAACATGTAACCGACAGTCACCTTGTCGGTAAATAAACAAAGAATAATCGGATTTGGACTGAGAAAAACCATAATCCCGCAAGGAAGTAGCAAGTTTGGCAAACCAACATCGTGGGGCTTGCCGTAAGCCGTAAAGAGATTTCTTCAACCTACAAACAGTAGTCGGCCGAGAAGAATAAAAACCAGGTGGAGGTTTCATGTAAACCTCTTCACCTAAATCACCATGGAGGAAGGCGTTGTGCACATCCATCTGGTGTAACTCCCAATTTTTAGCCGCAGCAATGGCTAAAAACATGCGCACAGTGACCATCTTAGCAACAGGGGCAAAAGTTTCCGTATAGTCAATACCTGCGCGCTGATGGTTCCCGAGAACGACCAGCCGTGCCTTTAGCCGTTCCACCGTGCCGTCGGAATTATATTTGATTTTATAGACCCATTTACTACCGAGTGCTTTCTTTCCCGGAGGTAGCGCCACCATATCCCACGTACAATTGTTTTCAAGAGCGCGAATTTCATTTGCCATGGCATCACGCCAGCCAGGGTCCGTCATGGCCTCGCGGAAAGACCGTGGTTCCTGTCCTGCAAGAATAGCTCCAAGAAACTGGCAGTGGCGTGAAGAGAATTTTTCACAATTTATATAATGTGCTAAAGGGTATGGCGTACCTGAGGAACGGAGAGGAGAAGATGGCGGAGGAGATGGGCTATATTTCCGTACGTGATGAGTGACAAAATCCCGCAAGAGAACAGAGGAGCGCTTCTCCCGTAAGCCACGTCCAAGAGGTGCAGCCGGTACTTGAGGCGTGTCTGCATGACCCTCAGCCGAAGTGGTATCCGTAGGGGGTACGTCCGATGCAGCTGTCTGGGAGACCCCTACGGGATCATCGTAAATGACCACCCCACCCTCGTGGTGCACGGGTTCAGGATGGGATGCCATGGCTGATTGCTCGGAAAAAGGAAAAATATCCTCATGGAATTTGACATCTCTAGAAACAAAGATATCACCTGTGTCCCAATCATATAATTTCCAACCCTTTTTGCCAAAAGAGTATCCAACAAAAACACAACGCCTACTCCGCGGCGCAAACTTATCACCCCGAGATTTCAAGTTATATGCGAAGCACAAACATCCAAAAACCCGTAAATGGGAAAAATCAGGAACCTGTCCGGTGAGAACCTGATGTGGTGTCTTACCTTCAAGCAAACCAGAGGGTGTGCGATTAATGACATGCACGGCTGTGAGCACGCACTCCCCCCATAAGTGAATAGGTATATTGGCCTGAAACATCAAGGCCCTAGCCACATTTAAAATGTGACGATGCTTCCTCTCAACACGACCATTCTGCTGAGGTGTTTCGACACATGAGGTCTGAAAGATTATTCCATGAGTATCAAAATAAGGAAACATACATTTAAACTCTGTCCCGTTATCACTACGAATGGTTTTCACAGAGACATCAAATTGCTTCTCCACCATAGTAATAAAGGATGTAAAAAAATGAAATACTTCCTTTTTGTCACGCAACAAGTATACCCATACAGCCCGCGAAAAATCATCAACCAGAGTAAGAAAATAAACAGCACCACAAGTAGAAGGGGTTTTATAAGGACCCCACAAATCACAATGTATCAGCTCCAAAATGCAACTAGCGCGAAAACTGCTGACAGGAAAAGAGTCACGAACTTGTTTGGCTTGCGGGCACACCTCGCAGGCTTTACTCAATTTTTTCGTAGAAGTACTAGTAATAAAGTGAGGTAATAGTTTAATGACCCTATCTGACGGATGACCCAGACGACGATGCCACAGCTCGAAATCTGACAGACCCGTCGTGTGAACAACATGTAGTGCGGGAATTCCCCGAAAATAATATAGCCCATCTCTTCGTTCACCTGCTCCAATCAGGTTCCTCGAGTGTAGGTCCTGAATAGCACAAAATAAATTAGTGAAAACAACAATACAAGCATTCTTATCAATCAGCTGGGAGACAGATATAAGATGACAATTCAATCCAGGCACATAAAGTACATGATCCAAGACCAGATATTTATTGAGAGGCACACGGCCCTCTACTTCGGCAGTCACCGTTCTCCCATCGGGCAACCCGACCGGGCATGCTTCAATGCGGGTACGTTGGACCAAGCAAGACAGATCACCCGTGACGTGATGTGACGCCCCAGTATCAATTATCCATGGTAAAGAATTAAACATACCCGACATCCGATCACAGGAAGTAGGAGCAACGTTAATCAAATTGAAAAATGTTTGAACCTGTTCCCGAGTTAATTCATTCAACGTGTTTATCTCACCGGAGGAGACTGCCCCATTGCCGGTCACGCTCCCAGGCCCGCATGGCCCACTGCTGCTGCCAGTAACAGTGTGAACACGCACACTTCCTCCATGTCTAGCTGAAGAGGGATCTGTCATGGCAACGTTGAAGACGAAACACGCAGGTGCTGTCTTCTTCGCAGCGTTTGTCTGCCTTTGGTGCGCAGGGAATTACATGTGATGCTCTGATACCATGTTCGAAGTAGTATATGGAACGTATGGCATAAAATCCGAGCTGTCTTTATTCATGTGCTAAGCCAAAGATATATACACGTACAAGAAGAATAATGAGCCCTTGGCCCACCATGACTAAACTAATACGGAGTATACAATTAATGAATTATACAAATAATAATAGGCCCATAACATTTTCTAAAAAATAAAAAGGTGGCAGCAGGTCCTTTGTATCTATACGTGAGAAAGAAGCACCCCCAAAGCGTGCAGAATAAACGTTTAGGCAATTTGAGTGTAACCACAGAATCATCTCGTCCCGACCTACCGTTTAGGCAATTTCAGTGTAATCGCAGAATTACGTAATACAAGTTAGCTTCTGAGTTCAATCTTAGTTCACTGTTTTATATTTTATACACTTTTTAACCC